TCTCCTAAGGTTTTCATCATATTTCGATATGTTTTACATTCTCTCCAATTTCGAGTATTTATTTCGTCAACACCTTATATAACGAGCGTTCAAATAAAAACGTGGTCAAGTTGGTTATGAAAATTTGGACGTAGGACGTAGCGTATAGCAAATGAACTTATAGTACGATCGTATACGATGCAAAGTAGAGCAAAAAATTGTCGGTCTTTTATCAAAGGAAAATCGTGTCATCATTTTTAGGAGGCGTAAGATGAACCGTTTCAAATTTAAAATGAAATTGAATGTAAAATCTGAAATACCGCCGCATACGCACTGTGTTCTGGTACTAGCTGTAGTCGGCCAGGTGCATCGAGTGTACGAAGTGGTCGGTTATACGTCAAATACTAACCTGGCGAGCTTGATCGTAGAGCAGGGAACAATAAACAGTGGCGCGTACAGAGGTGAAATGTAGTACTTACGTGGAATTTAAATAACGAATTGGATTTATAATAAATTACATTTAAAACAAATAGTTTATGAGAATAAAGGGATTTTTGTAGGAACAGGGTTCCAGACGTGAACTGATCTCTTCATCCCACCCCATTACGATTCTTTTTTTATAAGGAGAACGAAGTTTCAAAGCAAAAACCTTGTATAACAGATATACTATAAATATTTACAGAATGAAAACAAAATATAAATCCTATGATATGATTCTATCAAATGAAAACACTAACAACAATTCTCTACCAATCTCAACAAAATAAGTTATTTTTCTATCAAACAAGAAATGTTAACAAATTATAAACAAAATATAAATTCTATGATTTATGTACTGTACGCCAAACTGCATTTTTCTCATCTTCATTTAATATTAATTTCTTCTTTCCACCCCCTTTTTTAGGTTTCTTAACGTCTTCTTCAATTTTCTTCTCTCTTAAAATTTTGAAAACAGATAATTCGCTTACTCCAGTATATCTAGAACACATTTCCACCAAACCAGTCTTCAGTTTCATGGGATGATCCTTTTCTAAAGGGTTATAGACATTTAATATTATCGTTTTTTCTCTGTAACTTAATATAAATTTTTTTGTACCCACAGCAGTACATCCGGCTCGCGAACATCCAGGCACCGCCTCCATTTCTCCATATAACGTCTACAGAGCAATAATAATACAAAAAACTTCACTTCACTAGCACAGAAATTATAATAGCATTCACGATTCACAAACAATAGCCCGAATCACACACACAGCACACAAATAAAACACTAAAAACACTTTTGTTGCGGAGCACAAGAAATATGATTTCACTCACAAATTCTCAAATAATAGCGCGAAACACACATATAGCCCGAAAGAAATATAATTGCACTTATAACAGTTATAACCTCACAAATATCGCGAGCGAGAAACACGCAGCACCGATACAACCGAAACGAAACTGACCACGCCAGGCCGGCACGCGCGCCGCCGCAAAAAACACAAGACACAAGTCATATGAGGGAGAATGAAGGGAGTAATAAATGTATTGTTGTCCTGCCCAATGTGCCTTTGTTTTTCATTTTGTCCTTCATAAATATATAACTGTTAATCCATAATGCATAAAGAAATTATTCAATTTCCAAAACCCCCTATAAAATGTGTTGCACTGATTCCCTTGGCAGGCAATGATTTATTACTTTGCATCGTATACGATCGTACTTATAAACGTCATCTGTCAAAGCGCTATATCGCCGCTATCAATTTGAATATTTTCATTTTAAAAAGCGCTTAAAATGGTGTTTTCTCAAGAATAAAAAGTGTTTATCATAGAGTCCTACTTTATAAATGGACGCAAGATTGATGGAATATGGAAGTATTCTATTGAGGAATGTTTCATAGAATTTCAATATTACGCCGTGTGATTTCTTTTTGTGGCCTTACCTTAAAAACACTATTTTTGAACTGCCTTTTCATAATTTAAACCATCTGCAGGCTCGACTTATAGACAAGATTCGTGAAATTAACAATACCCCGAGCATCTTAGAAAATGTCTTTAATTCTTTTGGAACAAGGAGGGGGACACTTTCCGCAGCTCCTTTAATTGTTTGTTATTGTTATCACGATTATTCTTTAAAATAAAGTTATATAGTCATTAACGTTATTGAAACTGACAGCTGCTATACAGCTCGTTGAGATTGTTGAGAAATGAGATTAAGTTGGTCGCTATAAGCTACTCCCTACGTCCAATGTGTCAGAGCCAACTTCGACCACGTTTTTATTTGAACGCTCGTTATTAGTGTGTTCACATTAGTATGTGCAAATTCATAAGATGGATGCACTAAAGGAGCAAAAAGAATTTAATTTATTTATGTTATAGGCCGGGAAATAACTACTCGACATTTTTAATTAAAATTTATCAGATAGGTGAAATAGCGAAATTGTCGTATCATCATTCAAGTTTGATGTTAAAAATCAAAACAATGGCGACATAACTCCAGAAAACGCTAGTCTCGATCAGATAAGGTAGTGTAATCAAAATACTGTGAAATTGTGACGTCAATTACATTTCCCGCAGAAATGGTACTTTTGGCAAAATAGATTCTGGCAAAATGTATGTCTCGAAAAAGTCCTTATTCCTTAGTCTGGTCGATTTATAATTGAATTTCTTATACTGAGTATTTTAATTATTCCATGGATATTTAAAGGAGGACATTTTTTTCCCAAGGTTAATGTCTCCTGTTCCTACCGTATAATTAACCTAAATTTCTAAGTGCAACTAGTTATACAGGGTGTCCCATTTTAAATTACACATCTGAATATCTCGTCAGGAAGCCACCAATCCGGCGAAACTAACTCTTACAAAAATTGTTGGGTTCGGAAGGCGACATCGGATGGTGGCATTTGATTTCACTTTGACCTTGACCCTCAAGGCCATTTGAAGGTCAAATTTAATTTTTTTAAAAGGAACCTCTATTTTGAACCCCGGATTCGGAAAGGGCGCAAAACTTTACGTTTAGATAGGTACTTAAGGCTCCTTTTTGAATGACCTTTAAAAGTTATTTCAAGGACAAAGTATTTTAAATTACGCAGCTGAATATCTCGTCAGGGAAGCCACCAATCCTAAAATAACCGTTACGAGAGTTGTTGGATTCGAAGGGAGGTATAGGATGGCGACCTTCAATTTGACCTTGACCATCAAGGCCATGTGAAGGTCAAATTTAATTTTTTAAATAAGAACCTCTATTTTTGACCCCGGATTCAGAGAGCGCAGAATTGTACGTTTAGATACCTAGGTACTTAAGACTCGTTTACGTTTAGGGCTTTTCTTCTTCGTCAAGTTCAAATTGGAGGTTATCCTCCTCCGAGCCAACAACTTTTGTAAGGATTATTTTCGGATAGATGGCTCCCCTGACGGGAGGCGTAATTTAGAATATTTTGTCCTTGAAATAAACTTTAAAGGTCATTCCAAAGTAGGTCGGCGTTTTATAGTCAAGAAATCGCAAACAAAAAAAGAGTATCTAAACTGTAGAAACAAGGATTTCTTTAAATTTTGTTGTGAAAAATCACAGAAAACATAGCCACCCTTGTAATCATCCGAAAATGTACCTTTCCTGTTTTGTCGAGAGTTTTGTAAAAAGTACCTACTTGTAATAATAATACTTGTATTTGTAATAATTGTGATTAATTCATGTGTTCGACAAGAAAGTACTATAAATTCGACCCCCCACATAAATGACTTTTGAATTGAAAAATATCAAGATTTGATAGTATGTACTTCTACTCTTATCGAAATATGAGATGTAGTACACTTATGTAAATATATTTTAATGTTAACGAAGTTGTAAACAGAACACTTGAATATCATTACATTCGCTAACTATTTAGTGTCTAACACAATTACTAATTTTAATTGATATAAATGAATTTAACATTTACGCGTTATTTAAATGTCAACCTTTGATATGAACAAAAACATGAGGATATAACAAGGGGATTTAAATAATAACGGTGAGTTTAATATCCACGGTGTTGCAATATTTTACCATCAAAATTGTACGGGAGATTGTGTGATCAAAAATAAGTAAAAAGGTGATATGAGCTTTCTGAAACGCTTCGCTTTTCAGAAAAAGCAGGGCGATTATTTTTGTTTTTATCTTTTCCCATTACGTCACAAAGATATACAGAACATACTGGGACATAAAATTCAAATAACAAATATAAATGATGTCATTCTTCTACTCTGTCACTAAATAAAGTCTGTAATCGCTAAAATTGCCTAACAGATTTGTGTAGAAGAAGACACTGGGTATTATTACTTTGTAGCCCATACTTATTTAACAAGTTACAAATAATTCTACATACTTTAAATTATATTAATTAATTATATTGATGGTAAATTTCGTTTTGTTCCGTTTCAAAAGGTCTCCAAAGTGCCATGTTGTAATAATATTAATAAACAAAATATTCCTCTTATTTCTCTCTTGTAATATGAATGATTAATAGAATGGTGCCTATAATAAATTAAAATTACCTGAATCACACCAAATTCCGCATTGCTGCACTGCACTGCCAGGCGACTTGTCGACAACTGAAATTTATGACGCAGTTGACCAGAGTAACAGTGCGTATTGCTGTTTGCCCGCACGCTCATTCTTCAACTGGGCGTATACATTTCTACCACCTGCACGTTTAGATCGACTACACCTGTATATGGGTATGGCTAAATAAATATGGGAACAAGTTTTTCAAATATTTCAATGCCGAGTTGCTATTTAGCGACCGAGCCTGGTACATACTGCCAAGTTATTGGTTCTTCAACTGAAATCGGAAAGACTACCATCTGCATAGGTCAAACGCATGCGGATCATTGCCAACATTAACATTTACACAATATCCAACATCGGAACACTTGATAATTATAGAACTATTTTTATAATTCGTTATATGACGTAACAATTTATTTTGGTAGACATTTATAATTGCATTAAGTCCGAAAATAAACACCAGTTTGATTACTAACTCGTAATTTTTTTTTAGCTTCAAAATGTCCGCGAAGGCCATAAGGGAAGCTACCGGAAAGGACATAATAAACAGGCAGTTGGCCGGCAATACGGCCGCCGCGTCGTGCAGATTCGCGTCCGTCGACTCGGACACGAAGTTCTCGGAGCTGGTAGCGAACAACCCGTGGCTGAAGACTGAAAAATTAGTCGTCAAACCGGACCAGCTTATCAAGAGGAGAGGAAAATTAGGTGAGTGTGAAAAGATCGAAAATTTGCTGTTTTTTAGAGATAAAAATTAGAAAATATTCACAAATGTTGTCTGAATCGCCTCTCTACAACTTGTTGCTTTCCATGCAACACCACACATGCGCACTATCACTACACTTGATTTATTTTTCTTTTTAAACGAACCGTCATAAGACCAAAGTACCATTTTTAAAGATAAAGAAAAATTGTATTAGCTTTGGTAACTGAAAAACATTTTTAAATAGAAAATGTTAACCTCAGATTCCATGTTATTTTTTTATTTAGGTATTTACGCTTTTGATCTATCTTTGAAATACAGGGTGTCCCATTTTAAATGACTCACCTGAATATCTCGTCAGAGAAGCCACCGATCCGAACATAACCCTTACGAAAGTTGTTGAGTTTGGAGGGGATGGTGACCTTCAATTTGACCTTGACATTGACCTTCAAGGTCGTTTGAAGGTCAAACTTAATTTTTTAACTAGAAACCTCTATTTTTGACCCCGGATTCGGAAAGAGCGCAAAATTTTACATTTAGGTAAGTACTTAAGGCTCTTACATAAGTAGTTGGGTTTGGAGAGGGGCATCAATTTGACCTTGACGAAGAAGAAGAGCCTTAAATACCTATTTAAACTTGTGTAAACGGACGTGTCTGTCTAATCGTAAAATTTTGCTCTCTTTCTGAATCCGAGGTCAAAAATAAAGGTTTCTATTTCAAAAATGAAGACCTTCAAATGGCCTTAAAGGTCAAAGTCAAGGTCAAATAGAAGGTCATCACCCGATATCCCCCTTCGAATCCAACAACTTTCGTAGGAGTTATTTTTGAATTGGTGGCTTCCACGACGAGATATTCAGGTACATAATTTAAAATATTTTGTCCTTGAAATAACCTTTCAAGGTCATTCACAGAAGAGCCTTAAGTCGAAACGTAAAATTTTGCGCGCTTTTCGAATCCGGGGTCAAAAGAGGTCAAATAGATATTTAAAAAATTAAATTTGACCTTCAAATGATCTTGAAGGTCAAGATCAAATCCAAGGTCACCATCCGATGTCTTTCTCCGAACCCAACAACTATCGTAAGTGTTATTTTCGCATTGGTGGCTTCCCTAACGAGATATTCAGGTGCGTAATTTAAAATGAGACACCCTGTATAAAAGTCTTTGTCAGTATCTTAATATATTGGTATGGTTTAATGTTCCTATCGACTAAACGAAACTGTTTTCTATTGTTACAATGTTTTAATTGAAACAGTTTGCGAAAATAGACATTATAAGTCACCAAAACGACAAAACTATTTTTTGTGTTTGTGAGGTTAACATTTTGTTTTAAAAATAGTTATTAGAAGTGTTAATATCGATTCACCCATTACCAAAGTACATATTTGAAATCGCGGTTTCAAGACAAACTTGTATTTTTATAAGGAAAATTCAACAATAAAAAAGTTGCGAGCAAAACTTCTAGTACAAAAGTATATAATTTTGCCTTGTTTTTAAATTAAAATTTGTTGTTTGACTTTCCTAAACAACTATCAAAATAAAATTCGTAAGCCTTATAAATAGGACAAAATGTCCATTGCGGGGACATTTTCTCTTGCATTAAATATTGTTTTGAACTAATATGGATAACAGATGATATAATAATAAATAATAGTGCTGTCATCGTTTAAAATAAACTGTATTTGTTGTTTTTTTTTCTTAAACATTAACTTGGGTTTTGTTAAAATGCGTTTCATTATATAAAATAAAACATATACTCTACTGGAAAAAATTAAGGGAACAAAAATATTTCATAAATGTTTTAGTGATTTTTCAGACTGTATGTCAGTGAAAAACTGTCGTGTCGAGATAAAAAAAGCCGATTTGAGGCTTAAAGCCTCGGTTTTAAGTTCTTATTACAATTTTTTTTAGCTTTTTTTTATCTGGACACGGCCATTTTTCAGTGAGAAAAATCACTAAAAAATTTATAAAATGTTTTTGTTCCCCTAATTTTTTCCAGTAGTGTATAATTTCTCAATAGTGGTCTATGGTTTTAACATTGAGAATCTTTAGACATTATAGTTAATATACAACGTTCGAATCTCTAAAATAGTTTGCTAAAATAGTTTGTTACAGGAAATAAATTAATGATGATAAATAAACTTCTGTCAAAGTCATTTGTTTGTTCCGCGTGCCCCGTCCACAGCCACTGCGATCCGTCAGACATAAATTTCTCTCCTGTTTTTTTCAAAAATAGTTTTAAACTAAAATATGTCGAAAAGTCCTGAATCAAACAGTAACATACTAAATATTTTTGAAGAGAAAAAATTTAGCGAAGCTAAGTATGCACTAATATACAGGTTCGGAAAGTCCCCATGGTTCATCGGCAGTTACGTGAGAGCGATAAAGTAAGTCATAGAAATTCGTGCGATAGAGAAGGATGGCTATAATGAAGGCGTCTCATAATCACCGCCCGTTTCGCCCTTCCACAAATAAGATCCACTTCCACTTGTAATTCAGCGACCGGTGGTCATCTTTGTTTTCGTCGTTTGGCTTTTCTTTAATAGATGTCACTACTTATACAATTTCGACTCCGGTATTCCAATATGTTAATACCATCCTTTAACAGAGGGCAGGACAACACGTAATAAAGAAAACTTTTTACAGTAGCTAGTAGATACCTCTGTTTGTAACTCTAGTGACCTTGTTCCCCTACTGAGAAGTTATTCAAATGGAGTATAGTGCTCAGCTGCATTTAAAGTTCATTTAGTTGTTATTTAATATACTTTTTAAAATCATTTTCGAAAAAATCATAAAAAATCGTGCAACTTTTATATTTCACATTTTTTTATCTCTTAAAACAAAAAATTTAAAGGGGTGTGAAAATATAGTGAATCACCCTGTACACATGAGATTTTTTTATATGAAAGACCCACTTTATTTTTCCACAGGGAATCACCTACTTTTTCGCACTTATTTATTTACACCCTGTATAAAGCATAAAAATATAAAGGGTTGCGTGGCATGTAACAAAAAAATTCCATTATGAGAATTCTAAAAATGTCTCAGTTAATATTTATCTCCGTACCTTGAACGGACTTCTTTATGATGTTAACCCTGAAGTTGACATCTGATCAGCAGATTTTGAGGATTTTTGTAAGTACCTACTTTTTAGCTTTATGAATGTGCGACCTTAATAGGGCATTGCTGTCTTTTTTTTGTGTATTTCAAAACAGAAGATTTTGAATGTCATCAAACCATAGCACCTTTGCCAAAAACAAACAAAATTCAAACGTACACGAGCGCACGCTTTGTAGGTGTCGATATTTTTAATTCCGAAAATATAAAGTCAACAAACTTACATGCTGTGTCTGGGCACCCTCGCGGCTAGGGGTTCGCCTGCTACGTCCATAACAACTTGCAAGAAACAAAATTTAACACCCAATTAACCACTTTCGTGTTCCTTCTTTATCAAAGAGACTGATCTCGAATCTCGGTAGTACCTACTACTCGGCTTCTGTTGGTTAAACGTATTTTTGGATGGGAATCGCGATTCTATGCCAAATTTAAAGTCGTCATTGTCCGCAGAACTGAATTTGGAAAAAATACTGCTCAAAACACGAGGCGCATTCGCATCAGTGGAGCAGTCTCGAGAGCAGTAGTCGTTCTGGATGGCGGGTCGAAATATACCGTGGAAGCTTTTTGGAAGCCATAAAGTTAGATAAATATCATAAACTAATAATATCAGAAATTATTTAGTGTGCCTATTGTTATTCTAAGTAATTTATTAATTAATTTATAAATTGTTTAACTTAAAATTGGTTCTTGGAAGGTGCAGTTTAATTTTTTAATTTTTATATCAATTAAAATTTCAATTCGGAGGTTTACCTGGAATTCTCAGTCTTTAGAAATTTCAACGTTCATCCCAGGATTCAAGATACATTTGGATAAGTATAAAAGGTCCTGCGGGTTCAAAAAATGGTATCAGAAAACAGCAATATAATTTTTACTATAAATATTTAATGTCGGTAAACTGTTTTGTGTAAAATAGGTGTTATTGTTGGTATTGTTACCTTTTATACATGGGTCATCACAAAGCAGTTTATCTCGACAACAGCCGGGTCATTCGCCAGGAATCAAGAGGGTATATGAAACAAATATCAAAGTTAGAGATGTTTTAAAATATTATGAGCTTTGACCTTCATATGGGCAGAAACATAATTCCGACCGTCGTCGCCTAAATTATTCTACGTCCTAAAAACATTACACCTATTATTCACAGTCTCTCTCGAGCTCTAGCGTAAACAAGCCTTTGATGCGATTACAAATATCATAATAAAATGCCCTATTCTTTATTATTTTAATTTAAACAATAAAAAAATATATAACGAACGTTCGTCAGTTGACTTTATTGATGCCCGAGCGCCTTAGTTCATGTCTACTTGTAAAGATGCACATGGTCTAGTTCTGAGTCAATGTTTTCACAACGTGCTTATTAGAAGAATTATGGGGATACGCCACGCCTTTCGCGCATTTCGCGGCTCATGAGATATTAAAAGACCTCTACTGTTCTGTCAATAAAAAACAAATAAATCCCAACTACCGGGTGTGTGAGTCATATTATTATGCCACCTACCTCAAAACCACCCAGTATGTGTCAATCGAAGCGCAGGTAAGCGCATAAACGAGTATGGCATTCAACCACAAATTCACAAATCATTAAACAAATGTATTCAAGTTAGCACATACATATAATAATCGACCTTATTCGGGCGCTGGCCAGGCACCACTGTCCCAAAGAACACCCTCTCTCAGTTCCGGCACCCCGGGCTATGTTACTCATAAATCACATCTCAAGAGCAAATAAACACTTGGCTGGCGCATTCCGTGTGAACAGCTGAGGTTTGATTCAAAGCAACTACGATAGTTTTCATTTCAAATTAAAATATACATATATTGATTCCTATTATTACAATAGGTACTTAAAAAATAAACAAGTGTTACATTTGATTTTTTAATACTGGGTGTCCCACTAAGGTCGGCGAGGCATGATATTAAACAAAGTATAGGTCCTAGAGTCTAGGGTTTATACTTTCCCTAATATCGTACCTCGCCGACTTTAATGGACACCCTGTATAGCACTGATCAAAATGTTAGGTCAGTGCTGTTTCCAACGTGACCTTATTTTTGTATCATAAAATAAACGAATTGGATAAATATATCCGACTGGTCAACACAATTCCTTGGTCAGATAAAAAACAAACCCACGTAAATTTGCCGAGATTAAAAATGTTGTGTTTTTAACGGTATATCCACCTGGTTTCTAGTTATATGCCACTTATCTATCGAATTAACCGAAGTTGTAAATTCATAACTGACCTGTGCAGCTTATACCCGACCTGTGTACCCGACGAATTCCATCTGTAAATTATAATTTATGAATGAACAAGTAGCAATGAACTATAAATGTAGGTCACGCACCAGTGAAGTTCATAGTTGGTATAACTGCTCGTTCACGCGGTACAGATTCGCTCGTTTCATCGAAACGATAAAAATGTCGGATGGTGTAGTGGCGCATATTTTTAAATCTCCAAGATTTAGCTATTTCCGAAAGAATATACGGATTTTTTTAATATTTACTAAACCCAGAAACTAGCAAAACGCTAATCATGCAATAATTGCTTTATTAAGTACAGTCGGTACGATATTTGTTGAGATAGAATTCCAAGAAGACCCCTTCGTCACTTTTTTGGAATTAATCGCATTCGACGTCCGGGGGTAGAAAGACATTGGCGGAAAATTTCAAGGCACGCCCCTACCGCGGTTAACTGTTACAATAGTTCCGATAACAGAACTTTATTGGCTTATTCTTTTCTTGGAGTTCTCAAATGTACAGAGTGATTCGATTTATTAAATGCAACAATATATGTTTTTTTTCATGGCTTGATAGAACATTTATTAAGGAAAACAAATAGACAAACCGGAAGTCGAAATATCGAAAAAATTACAACTTTCTGTAATACACAGCAGTTGTACCACCTAGCGGTGAACTTACAAACTTGCACATATTTTAAATCAATTTCTTTTGGCCGTATTTGTTAATAGATTTGTTACCCTATAATCGTAGAACGTCTAGTTTCCTATGTATATCCGCTCCGTATCGTTAATGGATCACCGTACTCGTGTTTAATCTTTGTTTACCATCCGTGTATAATATTAATCATCACCACCTCACCATTTTCTGCTTTGTCACTCCCAACATAAGATCTCGGTGCGCAAGGAAAGCGATTCGGTGTGAAGTAAGTGCATTTAATTTTAATACCTGAACTTTACTGGAGCAGCGTTGTTTGGTAAGAGGTGCAACGGCATTACTGTGCTTTGCGAACCAGAGTACCAAGCGAGCAAATGATATTACGTAAGGAGCTTCCATGAAATTTGTATATTGAAAGCGATTTAAACTTTTTTTTGCAAGCGTGATGAGTTAATTCTGTTGTACACCGTATCGTTGAGTGAGTACAAATAGAATTTTCGGAGCTCTGCGATTCTTTCCGGTGATTTTTTTTTGTACGTCGAAAGGTTCACGAAGAAAAACAAATCCTTCGAGTCTTACAATTAGATGGATGTTTTATTTAATGTTCCAAGGCATTTTGCTTCGGTGTACAAATATGTAAAAAATACGACGTTAAAGAATTAACTATTTATTAGTATTTATATTAAAATGAAAAACTGCANTTTTACAGCAACTTGTATAAATAGGAAACCGATATCTAAGGAACCGTATGACAGCTTGTAGAAATCGATTAGGTACTTGTAAGATATATAATTTATAATAATTCTTCTTCAAACTGCTGTTGTTGATAACTTAACGTCCATATGCGTGATAGCGGCAACGCCGCGGTTCTCGACGTAGCGTATTATTTGAAATTCGCAGGTGTGACATATAGTGTATATTTCAAGCTTAGGCATCCAAACAAAGCCAGCCAAGTGCAACGTTGCCAAATCTAAAGGCTTACTACTTTAATCACTAGCGAATGTACAGAAACTCTCGTTAGACTTTTAGCCTTACCTCCGTACACGATAAACCTTATATATATATATTTTATTTGACTAAATTTTTACTTTTATTACAGGACTGATTGCCGTAAACAAAGACCTGGACGCGGTGCAGAAATGGATAGCGGAGCGCATGAACAAGGACCAGAAGGTGGGCTCCGCCACCGGCAAACTCCGCAACTTCATAATAGAACCCTTCGTGCCCCACAAGGAGAACGAGGAGATGTACGTCTGCATATACTCTCACCGCCACGCCGACACCATCCTCTTCTACCACCAGGGCGGCGTGGATATAGGGGACGTGGACAGCAAGGCGGTCAAGCTGGACGTGCCGATCGGGGAACACACCGATGAGGATGCCATAACGAAAACGTTGTTAAGGGACGTGCCTGCCTCCAAGAAAGCCATGGTGGCTAAGTTTGTTTATAATCTGTACAAGTTATACGTCGACTTATATTTTACGTACCTCGAGATCAACCCCTTGGTTGTGACGGATAAGGAGATTTATATTTTGGACCTGGCCGCCAAGTTGGACACTACGGCGGACTTTATTTGCAGGCCCCAGTGGGGCGAAATTGAGTATCCGCCTCCGTTCGGAAGGGACGCTTATCCAGGTTGGTGTCGTATTTTCTTAGTAATTTAAACTTCAAATTTAACTTTTCCAAAAATAAATTCAACAGTATTTATGAAAAATTCTCCCGAATATGTCTAATCAGTTGCTTTTGTTTTCTCCTGAGCTTTAATTTCATCCAATTCAATTGGATTGGCATCAGGGGACCGAGAAGGCTAATCCATTGAAACAATGCCATTTTCGCGTTTCCAGTTTGTGCATACGCGACTCCGAAGCACCCATAAATTGCAATTTAGACCAAATCATCTTCGAGCAGCTTTTATTAAACATTTCTCATATATTTTGACGGGCATTCGAATTGCCCGTGAACAAGTACAAAGTGCAAAATCCTTTTACACAGCAACCCCAAACATTCACTTTCATTGGATGCCACGTTCTGGCAAGTCGTCGTTTTTAACCTTTATAGAGATTTACCCATTTCCTGACAAACGGTTCAGACTTCTGCATGTAGTGAGCGGCAGCAGCTAACGACATTTTCGGGCCTTTTGCACAAAAACACCACTTGGAATCGGTGTGCCATCTATTAAGGCCATGGCGAACTGACGCACTTGAGTAATTATGCCGTTTACAATGTGCGAAATAAGAAGGCCAGAAAAATTAGCGATTTATTTGTATTTTCAGAAGAAGCGTATATCGCCGACTTGGATTCTAAGTCGGGGGCAAGCTTGAAATTGACGATTCTCAACAAATCGGGGAGAATATGGACTATGGTGGCTGGGGGCGGTGCCTCTGTTATCTACAGTGATACCATTTGCGCTTTGGGCGGTGCTAGCGAATTGGCGAACTACGGGGAATATTCGGGTAGGTAACCGTTAATAAATTTATATTCTATAGGTTTTTGCGCAAAAAACAACATATCAATTACACAACTGAAGGTCGTCGCAAACAAGGAACTTTGTATAATGCATTTTTGATCGGAATTCATGCATTTGGCATCTCAAAAATTTTAGTAATTGTGTCTGAAAATCTGTAAAAAATACATTTAAAACAAATTTTTTTTAGAGCAGTTGTAATATTTATTATTTTTAATCTTTGGAAGAAATACATGTAGTTAGATTAGATACGGTTTGCCATATTTCGAATTTTTTACAACTGATTTTTATCTCGCATTACCAAAGTATGGCGAACAATAGCACGTTCACCCAAATGTTAGAGTTCAAGGCATAGAAACACGCACGTAATAAAAATTCATTTAGAAAAAAATTTGCTTCGAAATGGAATATGCATGCACTGGTGACCTTGAAACTATTTATTATAAGATATCCACTTTAAATATTTTGTTTCCTTGTGGCTCTTTTACTACTGATACAAATTTTATTTGAATATATTAGAATTTTTTTATATTGTATCATCACCCTATTCAATAATAGTTTAGATTGCTTAGGAAGCATTTTCTATTTTATTTATTGCACTTTTTTAGAAAACGGCACATTTTCAGAGATTCCAATGAGAATACCTTTTTTCTTTAAGAGGGCTCTATAGCAAATAGGCAACCAGCAATAAATTTTTATCGATTTTATTACACAGTTTGTCTAAATATGAATTAATGCACAAATAACAGACTTTCCTCCATTTTAAAGCAGATTTTCTATAAAATGGACTTAGTTTGAAAGTCAAATTGTTTTTTGTTGTAAAGAAATTTGAAATTTGCCGCTTTTGAACAAGCAAATTACAAATTTCTTTATACCAAAACGTTATTTGAGTTTCAAAATAACTCCATTTTATAGAAAATCCGTGTTAAAATGGGAGAAAGTCTGTTATTTGCGCATTAATTCATATTTAGACAATTTTATAACAATTATTTGCTATAGAGCCCTCTTAAAATTAAATTAGATATTGCAAATTATGTCGTAATACTATGCATGAAAATGTAACTGCAAACATGTGACAAAAAAAAGGTCTTATTTCTCACTGTTCCCTCAGCCCCTGTTTATAAAAAAAATCTCATTTTAGGCGCTCCTTCTGAACAACAGACCTACGAATACGCCAAAACCATCCTTTCCCTCATGACCCAGGAGAAGCACCCACAGGGAAAGGTCCTCATCATAGGAGGGGGTATCGCGAATTTCACCAACGTCGCCGCCACCTTCAGAGGTATCATTACGGCCTTGGTGGAATTCCAGGGAAAACTGATCGAGCACAAGATATCCATCTTCGTCAGGAGGGCCGGGCCCAACTATCAGGAGGGGCTGAGGCGGATGAGGGAGGTCGGGCAGACTTTGTGTAAGTAAATGTCGGTATTTTTGCAGGATATATTTTAAAGGTTAACGGTCGGTTTTTCCAACTGCCAAATAAATTTATTTGTCACTTGAATTTGTGTGTGTATATCACTTTCTTGTGTAATTCGAAATAACTGTTTTCCAAATAACTCGTTTTTCATTGGCTATTCTCCAAGTAGTTATTCCGTCTTGCCTAAAATAGAATCTAAAAATCAGTTTATTCTAATAAAATATGTGCGTTAGACCTACTACCTTATTTTTTGTTGGCTATTCTCCAAAGAGTTCTTCTGTCTAGGCTAAAATGGAATCTAAGAATCAGATTATTTATACTAACTATATATATATTAAACCTACTGCCTCATCTTTCGTTAACTATTCTCCAGAATAGTCATTCTGGCTAGTTTAGAATAGAATCTGAGTCAGTTTATTCTAACTAAATACGTGCATTAGATCTACTACCTCTTTTCGTTGGTTATTCTCCAAGTAGTTCTTCTGTCTAGTCTAAAATGGAATCTAAGACTCAGATTATTTATACTAACTAAATGTGTACATTAGACCTACTCTACCTTGTTTTTCGTTAGCTATTCTCCGAATAGTTATTTTGTCTAGTCTAAAGTAGAATCTATGAATCAGTTTCTTCTAACTAAATATGTGTATTAAACCTACTACCTCATCTTACATTAGTTATTCTCCAAATAGTTATTCTGTCTAGTCTAAAATGGAATCTAAGAATCGGAATATTCATACTAACTAAATATGTATATGTACATTAGACCCACTATCTCGTCTTTTGTCAGTTATTCTCCAAATACCCCGTCTGATCTAAAATACAATATATGAATTGGTTTAAACTAACGAAATATGTGCATTAGACCTACTACCTCATCTTTCTTCAGCTATTCTCCAAATACTCCGTCTAGTCTAAAACAGAATCTATGAATTAGTTTAATCTAACTAAATATGTGCATTAGACCTACTACTTCATCTTTTGTTAGCTATTCTCCGAGTAATCATTCTGTCTAGTCTAAAATAGAATCTGAGAATCGGTTTATTCTAATTAAATATGTGCATGAGACCTACTACCTCATCTTTCGTTAGCTATTCTCCAAATAGTTATTCTGTCTAGTCTAAAATATAATCTAAGAATCAGATTATTTATACTAACTAAATATGTACATTAGATCTACTATCTCGTCTTTCGTCAGCTATTGTCCAAATACTCCGTCTAGTCTGAAATAGAATCTATGAATCGGTTTAAATTAACTAAATATGAAAATTAGACCTACTACCTCATCTTTCGTTAGCTATTCTCTGAATAGTCATTCTGTTTAGTCTGAAATAGAATCTATAAATCAGTTTATTCTAACTAAATATGTACATTAGACCTACTACCTCATCTTTCGTTAGCTACTCTCTGAGTAGTCATTCTGTCTAGTCTAAAATAGAATCAGAATCGGTTTATTCTAATTAAATATGTGCATTAGACCTACTACCTCATCTTTTATTAGTTATTCTCCAAATAGATTTCTGTCTAGTATAAAATAGAATCTAAGAATCAGATTATTTATACTAACTAAATAAGTACATTAGACCTACTATCTCGTCTTTTGTCAGCTAATCTCCAAATACCCCCTCTAATCTAAAATAGAATCTATGAATCGGTTGAATCTAACTAAATATGTACATTAGACCTACTACCTCGTCTTTCGTTTGCCATTCTCCAAATAGTTATTCTGTTTCCATGCTCGTTGAATTCTATCAAATTTATGCTGGATATAATTCGAGATATAACTCGGATGGCGAATAAGTATCCTAGACTTTATATTTGAAGAAAATAAAGGTAGATTTCAGATTCCATGTCTGATACTTCTCGTTCTAGAGCATCATGCTCTTGACAAGGAGAGCGAGAACTTACTCAATGTCCTTATTTTTAATAAATGTAGGACTCGCTTCCTTAACCTTCAAGTGTGACGGATTAAAAATATTTTTAGCCATTCCGCTGTACGTTTTTGGTCCCGAGACCCACATGACCGCCATCGTGGCCATGGCACTAGGAATCCGTCCGATACCGCAGGAGAACAACGTGGAAACCGCCACGGCGAATTTTGCGTTACCCACCGGCGAGAAGCAGCCGAACAAACAGAAGCTGCTGTCCCAGAATAAGGAGCCCGTGAAACCGTCCGTTGTTTGCAGCAGGAACGCCATGGTAAGCCTCGTAAATCACGATCGTGTCGGATTATCTTGTTTTCTATATTTCTTCTCTTATATGAACACTGTTTTATTAATGTATGGAATAGTGCAAGTATCGCTTCAGTTTTACTGACGTTAGATAGTTGCAAGTGTGGCATGGTCTAAATTGTGACTAAAATATTAATTTTAATTAAAATCTATACATATGGAGGTATCGAAGTTAATCCATACTTTGTATTCATTTCGTAGCTACTTGTGAATGTTAAAAAGTAATTTATTAAGGGGTCTCTGTAGCAAATAGGCAACCAGCAATACATTTTTATAGATTTTATTACACAGTTTGTCTAAATATGAATCAATGCACAAATAAGAAACTTTCCTCCATTTTAACTCAGATTTTCTATAAAATGGACTTGGTTTGAAATTCAAATTACTTTTTGGTGTAAAGAAATTAGTAATTTGCATCGTAAATTACGAATTTTTTCACAACAAAAAGGAATTTAAGTTTCAAACTAAGTCCATTTTATAGAAAATCTGCGTTAGAATGGGGGAAAGTCTGTTATTTGTGCATTAATTCATATTTAGACAAAATGTGTAATAAAATCTATAAAAATGTATTGCTGGTAGCCTATTTGCTATAGAGCCCTCTTAACCACGACTTTTTATAATGGTGTTTTTATTAATCCTTTTTCATATCTGTTTTTCTGTACTGTTTCAAGTTTGTGGCATAATTTTGAGTTTTTTATTTGGATATTTTGTCATGTGTGGAAAAATAAAGGTGCGGGACAAGTAAATTTTTCCATATTTAGTTATAAATGTGAATCTTTTATTTACTTCTTCTATTTATAAATGTTTAAATTTATTCACAAGTGGCAAAGTACCCAAATAAACGGAGAAAAAAATTTATAAAGAGGAATAAAGTGAAAATGAAAAAAAAATTGTGATCCAAAACTTATATATTTTTTGGTAAATATATTTGGGTAGTTGGATATTGATTTATATTTTTTTAAAGAAAACGTCACACCAACTGTTTAAACGTTTTCTAATTAAACTGTTTAATTTTGCAGTAGTGCGTAATAGAAAAAATATACAGTGGGCTCCCTCTTAACGGGCCACTTCGGGAGGACCGGGACCCAGACCAGATAGCGATAAAAAAATAAGCTCTTAAAGTACTAGTCGATTTTCTTTTGTTTTTTTGTGTGCATTGTTCTTCTGAAAGCAAAATCATTTCGATTCCTCCACCAGTTGTTTACTGTACTTTTTCCTACGTTTAGTTCATCACAAATAAGCTTGACTGACTCCTTTGTCGAAACGCTCAAGAGCATTTAGCTTTTGTCCCATCGTTACAACTTTACGTTTTCCTTTTTCACTCATTTCTTCAACACAACACACACACATACACGCGGTTACAGTATTCAAATACAGATGCGCAAGAAACACATCTATCTCCTGCGAATACGAAATGGTGAGAGGTATGAGTAGATTAGGGTGGCCCAAAAAAACTAATATTTTTTTTTCGTGTTGTGAATATATGTTAGTTTATCATGTTTTAAGTGCCCCCTTAAAAAATCAGCTGAAAAAAAATTTTTTTAGTGGTTGCTCAAGATTTTTACAAAATTTCCAAAATCGTCAAAAATTTATTTTTTATTTTTTTTCTCGTTTTATCAACTTCTACGTTGAAAAAAATCGCTATTCTGAAAATTTCAGATCGATATTTTAATTTCTAAAGATCGCTCACAATTATTTTAACTTTCAAAGTAGTGTACCATGTTTTCGACCGACCTCTAAAAATAAGTATCAACGAATTAATTATTTTTTTTCTTGAATTTGATGAACAAAAGAATAGAAATAAATCACGACTTAAATTTTAAAAAATTAAAAAATTATAAATATTTGATACTCGCAGAGAATTTTTTAAGTGTCTCGTGATTTATTTCTGTTCTTTTGTTCATCAAATTCAATTAAAAAAAATTATTAGTTCGTTGATATTTATTTTTAGAGGTCGCTCGAAAACATTTTAGGTACACTACTTTTAAAGTTAAAATAATAATTATGACCTTCAGAAATTAAAATATCGATTTGAAATTTTCACAATCGAGATTTTTTTCAACCTAGAAAATGATAAAATAACGAGAAAAAAAAATTTTAAAAAATTCAATTTTTGACGGTTTTGGAAATTTTTAAAAATCTTGAGCGACCTCTAAAAAATTTTTTTATGAGCTGATTTTTTGAGGGGGCTCTTAAAACATGATAAACTATTTTCACAAGAGACACGAAAAAAAATATTCGTTTTTTTTGGCCACCCTAGAGTAGAAGCGTGGGATCTTGTTGATCGATACCTTTGGTTTGCGAGGTGATGAGGGACTCCCCATTTTTGTTTCGGGAAAATTAAGAGGTTGCACGTGTTGTGAAGGGATACTTCTGAATGTTGATGGAATGGGTATAAAGTACACGAAAGATTTTTACCGCGTTTTGCAAGCCGCTACGGAACAACGTAACGCCACAATTAATCAGCAGCTCAACAGGTCTGTGAGTCATTATAGTCCCAAACTCGTGGCGGTTGGTTTAGGGGGAGTCCACTATATTAAAAAAATCTGTAAACGTATATTTAAAGGTTTTACGTAACTGTTTAGTTAACATGTGTTGCATGTCAGTGTAAGTTTAACTTTGATTGGTGGTTTGGTCTATATTTTCTTTTATACTGTTCCTCCCAGTTTGATTTCTATTAACTTCAAATTATTGTTTCTGCGGAGTCGTAATCTTATATTAATAAAACCAGTTCTATAAACTAGTATAACAGCATGAAGTTGTAGTAATTGTAATTGAACTTGTGTAATAATTTTTAATCGACCTCATTTGTGAACGTATTTATTTTTATCTCAATTTAATGGCATTGTGTAAATTTAAGTACTTGGGTCATATTTTGTTGTTATTACTGCCGATTTGTTATTCGAATGATAAAACATGGAAATATACATTATACAGGGTGTTTTGCAAAAATGTACCACAAGTCTAGGTGTTAATAGATAAAAAAATAGAATATTTTTTCCTATAGACCGTCTGGTTTTTGAGTTACAGGGCGCCAAATAAAGTTTCTTGAAATCAAAATTTATCAATTCAAGAAACAGCACAATGTATTGAAATTAGGTACAGCTAAGTTTTCAGCGGTGCTAAATGTATTAATGTTGTTAGTGTTTGACTATATGTAAGGAGTCGCTAGCTACGATCTTACCTAGTGGCTTAGTAGGCCAACCAATAGAGAAAAATACTTAGTAAATGAAAACCCAAGTGATTTCTCCAACAAAGTCGTGAACAATTTCTTTTTAAACAATAAAAACTGCAAAAAAATGAATTTTTTTGTTTTTTTTATAATATCGAATAATAACAATGGAATCGTTTTACTCTCAATAGTACTTTTGTATAAAATGAAAAAACGTAAAAAATTGTTTTTTATGCGACCTGATCAGTTCATTTTTTACAGAGAAAATCCGGAAAAACCTCTAAAGTAGACCTTTTTTAAAAAATTCATAACACCGTCAAATTTGAAGCTGGAAAAACAATCTTGCAGAAAATGACAGATAATAATATGTAGTTTAATCGTGCACAAGAAGGTTTCTGTCCGACGCATAGTTTTTGCGCAATTGCATTATAAAAAAAATTTGGTCTTTTTTTTTGCACAGCGTGGCGGTTTATCAAAAATGGTCCGATTTAAATTCTGAAAACGGATCTGAAAGTTGACGACAAAATCTCCAGTTTGTATTTCTCGGATTTTTGTCTGGGTGATGGGAAATATGCTAAAAATGTCCTTGAAAGTCGCTCGGGCCAGAGTTGCGCGGTAGTAGGGGTAGCAGCCAGCAGAGGACTCTGGCTCGAGCGTATTTTCGATCGTTTCGGGCGACTTTCAAAGACATTTTTAGCATATTTCCTATCACCCAGACAAAAATCCGAGATATACAAATTGGAGATTTTGTCGTCTACTTTCAGATGCTGTTTTCTGAATTTCAATCGGACCATTTTTGATAAATCATCATGCTGTGCAAAACAATCCTAATTTGTTTATAATGAAATTGTGCAAAAACTATGTATCGGACAGAAACTATCTTGCGCACAATTAAACTACATATTATTATCTATTATTTTCCGCAAGATTGTTTTTTCCACCTTTATATTTGACGGAGTCATGAATTTTTGAAAAAAGGTCTATTTTGGAGGTTTTTCTGGATTTTCTCTGTAAAAAATGAACCGATCGGGTCGCACAAAAAACCATTTTATACCAGGAAAAGTCAGGGAATTCATTATTCTTCATAAAAAACAGGGAATAGTCATGGAATTTTAAACGTACTCGTGAAAGTCAGGGAATTTTATGTTTGCAACAGGAAATTTTGTAATAGCTGTTTTACATTGACAATTTATTCATCAATTAATTCATGAAGTCGCTTATCAAGAAATTGGATAAGTGTAATGCACCAAATCTGCTGTCAAATAATTTCATGAATTTATTCATCAAGTTCTTGACGAATTAGAGCATGTTCTAATTTTCGTCAATTTCTTCGTGAAGTGCAGAAGTACCAACCCAACAGATTTCCAGCTTCAGATCAGTAATGAGGTTATGTTATTGGAATATGTAAATAATTGTGTGGCGTCGTACTAGTTTTGTATTGTTTTTACTGATTTGTTACTTACAAACACTAATATTTATATAATATGTGTCAAAACAGTACCGCTGTTGTATCGCTACAATTATGAGTGGAAAGGTGACATTTTTGAAATTTATTTGCTTCTTTGATTCGTTGGTAGAACTGATTCATGCGTTAAAAAACTTGACAAAGTCTGTAGCACTGTAAAACCACACTGTTTACCAATAAACTTCTTCAATTTATTCATCAATAAATTGTCAATGTAAAACAGCTATAATTCGTCAAGAACTTGATGAATAAATTCATGAAGTTATTTGACAGCAGATTTGGTACATTACACTTGTCCAATTTCTTGATGAAGCGACTTCATGAATTAATTGATCAATAAATTGTCAATGGTAAAACAGCTATTACAACCGGCCCTGGTTTCTTGAAGGGGAACACTATTTGTGGTTATGAAACCTTTATAAGAGATTTTTTGGGCATAAAAAAGATTATGGATGTGAGTCTATAAAAAGTTTAATGCATAAACACCAATTAGTATGTAAAATTGCACTACAAGCGACTTGATTTTTTTTTATGTCGGGAAAAACCTAAAAAAGTCGGGAAATTCTATATTACTTTTGAACTATGAACCCTGTTTTGTAACGTTTGATCGGCCTCTGCATTTATGGTACTTTTTCTCCAAAATACCATGTATAAATTTTAACTTCACTGGTTTTATTTGTATAATTACTTCAGTTTATGTTCAGAATTTATGTAAGATTTATAATTTTTCTTTTTTTTTTTTCTTTGAAGGAAAATATACCAAACCCAATAGAAATAAGACCTCACACTAGTAATAAGGTAATTCAAATTTTATTTCTTTTTCTTATGCGATTCGCTCCGACGTGATACGAATAACTCTGTTTCCATTATTTTTCTTTCATTTCACTTAGGGCGATTCGAAGTCGTCTCCGTTGTTCACCAACACCACCAAGTCGATAATCTGGGGCATGCAGAACCGCGCCATCCAGAGCATGCTGGATTTCGACTTTGTCTGCCGCAGGAACGAACCTAGCGTAGTGGCGATAATCTACCCGTTCACGGGCGACCACAAACAGAAGTTCTACTGGGGTCACAAAGAGATCTTGATCCCGGTGTATAAGCAAATGAAAGACGCCATGACGAAACATGCCGACGCCGACGTGCTGGTCAACTTCGCCTCGTTGCGTTCCGCCTATCAGAGCACCCTGGATACCTTGGAGTTTCCACAGATCAGGACTATCGCTATTATAGCGGAGGGGATCCCCGAGAATCTAACTAGGAAGCTCATCAAGCAAGCCGACCAGAAGAAGGTTACCATTATAGGCCCTGCGACGGTCGGCGGAGTGAAACCGGGCTGTTTTAAGATCGGTAACACGGGCGGCATGATGGACAACATCCTGCATTCGAAACTGTACAGACCGGGAAGCGTAGCTTACGTGTCGAGGTCGGGGGGGATGTCTAACGAACTCAACAATATCGTGTCCAAAGCGACGGACGGAGTTTATGAAGGCGTTGCGATCGGCGGGGACAGATATCCCGGGAGCACTTTCATCGACCACATCATGAGGTAATGAGCAATTTATTTGAAAATACGAAGGTAAAAATGGAATGGGACGTTGAATAAAAAACTTTTTTTTCTTAGGTATCAGGAAGACGAGAGCATTAAGATGATCGTGTTGTTGGGCGAAGTGGGCGGTACGGAGGAGTACGAAGTTTGCACGGCGATCGAGACGAAGCAGATCACGAAACCGCTCGTCGCTTGGTGTATAGGTCAGCGAGGCTCTTGTAAATAACGTGTTTTCGTGTATACTAACGGTGGCTGATTGTAGGTACCTGCGCTGGAATGTTCACATCCGAGGTCCAGTTCGGACACGCGGGTTCCTGCGCCAACTCGAACAAGGAGACGGCGAATGCGAAGAACGAGGCGCTCGCCACGGCTGGTGCCCATGTACCTGAATCTTTCGATTTCTTAGGTAATTATTATCGTACTACGTACGTTACAAGAATTAAGCATTAATTTTTCATGCTGTTACAAATCTGGTGATTCTGCTGATGATTTCGCCTAGTGTGACATTAGTAATGCTTTCTTAGCACTTACAGATTAGCAGGTCACTCTCTGCCGGTGGGTACAGAGCAATTATTTGGTCCAGTGGGCACTGAATCGCAATGACATTTACTTTGTAGGTTATATCTCGTCCACACTTGAAAAGTGAAACGCAAAGTAAATTTCGAACATCTTGAGGAAGCCCCGAATTTATCTAAATTAAAATTTTAGTTAATTATCACAATTTTTGAATTTTCAAAAAAAGTTATTTTCAAAATATTCTTATATCTGCTTTAAGTTGTGTTAAAACAAAACTCCAGTATGAAAAACACCTTGTACCAATATTTAATGCTTTACTTAATGGTATTTTTAACATGAAAGTGTTGAGTGTTAGCAAATAGGCAACCAGCAATACATTTTCTATAGATTTTATTACACAGTTTTTCCAAATTTGAATTAATGCACAAATAACAGACTTTCCTCCATTCTATCGCAGATTTTCTATAAAATGGAGTTAGTTTGAAAGTCAAATTATTTTTCGTTGTAAAGAAATTTGTAATTTGCTGTTTTTAAACAAGTAAATTACAAATTTCTCTACACTAAAAAGTAATTTGAGTTTGAAACTAACTCCATTTTATAGAAAATCTGTGTTAAAATGAAGGAAAGTCTGTTATTTGTGCATTGATTCATATTTAGACGAACTGTGTAATAAAATCTATAGAAAATGTATTGTTGGTTGCCTATTTGCTACAAAACACATTTTTCTTTCTAGGTGACGTAATACAAAACGTATACGAACACTTAGTCAAGCAGGGGCACATCGTGCCCGCCCCGGAGGTCCCGCCCCCAACCGTGCCCATGGACTACAACTGGGCCAGGGAGTTGGGCCTCATCCGTAAACCGGCCAGTTTCATGACTTCGATTTGCGACGAACGCGGCCAGGAATTGATTTACGCTGGTAGGAATCGAATAATTACCCCACGATTACGACGAACGACACATTATTTGTTTTTCAGGTATGCCCATATCCGACGTCCTACAGAAGAACGTCGGGATCGGCGGCGTAATTTCCCTGCTCTGGTTCCAGAGGTGCCTGCCCCCCTACTGCTGCAAATTCTTCGAGATGTGTCTGATGGTGACGGCCGATCACGGACCGGCCGTTTCTGGGGCCCATAACACGATCGTTTGTGCTCGTGCTGGCAAGGATCTGGTTTCCAGCTTAGTGTCGGGCCTGTTGACCATCGGAGATAGGTTCGGTGGGGCTCTGGACGGTGCCGCCAAGACGTTCAGCGAAGCCTACGATAAAGGTTAGTAATCCTACACTTTCTAAACCTCAATTCCTCTTCCTTCTCCTCCTCCTCCTCCGCAAATGATACAAATTTACACATTCACAGATTAGCAGGTCACTCTCTGCCAGTAGGTACAAAGTAAAGTTTTGTGTCAGTAGGCGTTGTGTACAATGACATTTAGGTACGCTTTTTTAGGTTATATCTCACTCACACTTAAATTCAAGGTTGATAATAGAAATTTTGTCACAAAATGGCGGGTGATCGCAGTACTTGATCAATCTAGGAACTTTATTTGGCATTTAGGGCATCTTTTGTACTTACCTGCTACTTGTCTCGATAAATTTGAGAAAGTTATGTTGTCAGCAACGAAATCTCAGCTCTTTGTATTCCAGGAATGCACCCGACGGAGTTCGTCAACCACATGCGCAACAAGGGCCAACTCATCATGGGTATCGGCCACAGGGTCAAATCCATAAACAACCCCGACCAGCGCGTTAAGATCGTCAAGGAGTACGTGATGGCAAACTTCCCGCAAACGCCGCTCCTGCAGTACGCACTCGAAGTGGAAAAGATAACGACGAGCAAGAAGCCCAACCTCATCCTTAACGTGGACGGAGTCATAGCGTGCGCCTTCGTCGACATGCTCAAACACTGCGGCAGCTTCACCAGCGAAGAGGCGCAGGAGTATATCAATATCGGGGCGATCAACTCCCTCTTCGTTTTGGGTAGGTCCATCGGTTTCATAGGGCACTACATGGATCAGAAGCGATTGAAGCAGGGGTTGTACAGACATCCCTGGGACGACATTTCGTACGTTTTGCCCGAACAGTATAGCAACGATAACTAGGTCCTACTGCAATTAAGAATTAATAAGGCAAGGCTAGACGTACTAACTGGGTTTAGCTGAATTTCTTTAAAATTTTATTTTTTTTATGAAATAGATATAATTCGTAAACTTTAGGTGGTAACAATATGTTAGTGTGATGTTAGGCGTCGTCTTTACGGCTGAAATGTTTTAATTCTCAAACTAGGTCTAATTTTCACGACAACGAACCGCTGATGCATTTCTTGTTTATAGAAAAAAGGGTAATGATAAATTAACGTGGAAAGAAACTTTTTTTTAGCTTGCTATAAAACTATTTAAAAAACACTCGTAAAGTATTTTTTTTAATGTTTAGATCAGATTTTGTACTTTTTCTTTCGTTGTAATATCTTTATGGTTAATTTAAGGACCATTATGTTATAAATATTATTTCTAAGACATGTTTAAAAAGTTATTCCATTATTTATTTCATTTGAAGTGGATATTTATATTTTTATATATAGATGTGTTTGATGTGAGTAATCGTAGCCGTGGAGTAAACGGCATTTTAAAAAAATATTTATGTACTGTTGTGTGTACATTTCTTGTAGTTACGTTTTATGTATTTTATCTTCTAAATAAAAATATTTATTAAAATAAATTTAATTTTAATGCTTTTGTATATTTTAGTTGCAAGAGCAGTTTTTATTTCCTATAATTTATAAATTTCGACCAGAAATAAGACAAGTGTAAATAAATATTTCCTTCTGTTTCTCTTAACTACGTTTGATGGCCGAGTTGGTCTCAGGTGACGTCATGCGCAGAAATGGCTGACAAACATTACTGTTTTAACACCGACCTAACCTCAAAAATGTTAGATAAAATGACACCGAGGAGGTCGTACCTTAGCGACCTCTAGCAGATGACGAAAAACTAACGAACTGACGTATTTTACACATACTTCTATCCTATACTGATCATTTTGCAATTGACTTGAAGCCGAAAAGTGGGTCGACGTACCATCGTATTCATACGCATGCGTTTACTTTACGGGTTTTGATTGGTTGAAAAGAACCAAGAACGGTGAGCGCCGAGCGGTAAAAAGCCAAACCGAGCTAACCTAAAAAATATTCTCATTTTGTTTTGTGTTGTGCTAGTGCTTTGGTGAAACTGTTATGGTATAGTGTATATTTTAATAAATAAATAAATAAATGTATCTTTTGAGTTTTATTTCATAATCTGTTTAAACCTGCACTAATTCTTCTATTAATTTGTCTTGTGTTGATATTTAGTAAAAATGTTTCAAAATTATACTCGATAAGAGCCTTCCTTAAGGGCCTTTAAATAGTGTTTTCCGCAAAGACAAATAATTTCAAACATTTAATAACTGAATAATCTAAAGTTTATCAAATAATAGGAATGTTATGTCATGCCACCTGAGTATTTTCAAAGACGCCGCAGTAAAACGAATAAACAGGTGCAAGAAACAATCAAACCATCAAGATTTTAGGTACTGAAATCTACGAAAATACTACCTTTTTTATATATAACTCCACATGTAAATATTCTTACATTTACTTCCTTAGTCCTACATATAAAATTGTTTACTTTTATTTATAAGTACGTGAAAATAATTCTTAAAATGTGGGGTTAGGATAAACAGAAAACGCATGTTTTACAAACGCTTTTTTTTGTTATTATTTTATTTGGGTAAATTTAAATGGTAACAATGAATAAATAAAACATCAAGGATTTTATTTTTGTGCTTACTTTTGTTCTACACGTTTTACTTTTCAAGATTTCAGTACCTAAAAATGCCAGAAATTTCACCATTTCTCGGCCAGGGATATGGCCACCTTAATCGTGGACATTATTATCGGATTGGTCTCTTACAGATATTTTATAGCATGTTTTTTTTATATTATCAAATAAACTGCAGAAACCATTATAATAAATAATTATATAATGAACTTTTTTTATAAAAAAAAGATTGTCAGTTGTGCCCGGCTTGAGCGAATAGTGGCGATTTTTTGAAATACTAAGTCTTGTTTAATAAATAAACCAGTCATTTAAAAAATGTCCAAAATTACGAACATGCATATGTATATAGTTTTAAAAGCATATAAATTTGTATTCTGTTTTATTGTATTTGAGCCTGCAAAATATTAAATAGGTTATGCAGATACTTACGTTATTTATTTTAATATCTTATATGTATATAATCGGCTATAGTACAGAGCATGCCGTGACAATCTTTTCAATTTGAATGCAACCGCGCCTAATTATGGAACATGCGCAAAACACACGGAGTACGTCTCGCCCCCCCTTTTTGGAAACAAGGTCATCCATTGAAACTATAGGTAATGATCAGTATAGGATAGAAGTATGTGGTATTTTAGCATCAAAAACTTATATACCAGGGTTCGATTTTCAATGCGATTTGTTTTTCGTCACCCTGTTGCGCCGACGTACTTCAAAAATAGAAGACAATTAGTCCATGGTCCATAAGAAAAATATTCTTAATTTTTGTTATTCGCTTCGAGAACACCCATGCACACAAATCTAGATTCTAAGTTGTGCCATTGTGCCCATACAATCACACATTACTGAATGACATGTTCCTGTGGTTGTGTAAAACTTGGACTAAGCTGGAGCTTCATACTCAACGAAAACTGAGCAGATCTGAAATGAATTTCATTCCCGCGTTAGTTTTATATACCGTTGTTTCTTATTTAATTTTGTGCCGTGGTCCAGTGATGCGTCTCGAAAAATTGGTTACGTCAACTATTGACAAATGACGAATTAATTTGATATCTCATGACAAATTACGTTAGTGACAACTGACAACGTCAGTTAGTCAACATTACGATTTCGCGTTATAACAACAAAGCCTATCTTGGATAGGCAGCAATGTCCTAATTCCAACTTTAAAAATGCTTGAAGAAATTTCCAGTTCATATTTGGCAAAAATTAGTGATTTGTTAGGTACTACCGAGCCTGCTTTAAAATTGCTATTGACTGTTCTTGGTGGTGAGTAATCTTTTAATTCATCATTTTCAGAATTTTTACACTAATTTAGAACAGTTATTTTTGTACCTTATATCAAAGGTCGTAAGAAAAGATAAATTCATCTACTTCATTTATAAAAGTTCTATGTACTATTTGCATTTTCAATGATATTTCAAAAATGTTTATTCAGTAAAGCTTTTCACATGTTACAAATAATAATTTGATATTGATTATATGAGTGCATTAACTATTAATAACTTTATTGATTATAAAGTTAGGCGCAATGTTTGTTTTTTTCCAGTTTGTTTCATTTATCTTGTGTACGACGTATAATTTTCAGGTTACCCTTTGGCCTTAATATATAGAAAATATGTGTACGGTAAAGATGCATATTTGCAACACATATATTTCATTCTCACTGGATTCCTTTTGGGATACTGGAACTATGGCATGGATATGTTCCACTGCGTGTTCACAATTTTCTTCACATACTGCACATTATTAATACTTAAAGGCACTATGCTATGCGTGGCTGTGACATTTATCTTCAATATGTCATATTTATTAATAGGTGAGAAATGTATAGGTATCAGAAATTTCTGCTGATAATTAATACCTCTAATTGCAGGTTATTTTTACACCAGTACCGATACTTATGATATAATTTGGACTATGCCCCAGTGCATTTTAGCACTACGATTAATTGGTAAAGATTTTTTTTTTTAATAAGTTTTTTGTCTATCGGATTGGATTTTTAGGGACAGCTTATGACTATTACGACGGACATCAGCCACACGATAAATTATCTGCTGATAGTAAAAAAGTGGCCCTGGTCAAGAGGCCGGAGCTTCTGGAAATATTTGGGCATAGTTTCTTCCCGGCGGCATGTTTGATTGGGCCGCAGTTCCCAATGAAAAGGTACCAGGAATTTGTAGCGGGCAACTACGGCAAAAAGGTATTTTACAATAAAATATATTTAAAAAACGTTTTATAGTTACGTATTTAATTTTTAGGATGCTCCTAATTGTCCGCCAGACTCGGTAGATGCCGCTGTAAAGAGGTTTACTCTTGGCGTCGTATACCTTGCAATTTTCCAAGTATTTGGAATGTTTGTCTCTGATGAATACCTTTTGACTGATCAGTTTCAAAATTTAAGTTTCTTTAGAAAAATGTTGCTGCTCGGTATTTGGGGACGGTACACCTTATATAAATATATATCTTGTTGGCTCATCGCAGAGGGCGCTTGTATTTTATTTGGTAAGTAGACAATGTTAAACATTACTAAAAAATATTAACTATTGAAGAAATTTTGTAATTTACGTTATACAAGGTGTTTTATGCCTGCTGTATTTTCGTATTTTGGGCAGTTTTACTAGAAAATTTGAATCATCGGTGATCTTTTTTGGACCATCCCTAGTAGTTTCTGGCAATATACAGGGTGTTTCGCATAAGAACCGACACAGAGCTAAATATCTTCTTAAAATTATTTTCAATTCCTCAAATAAAATACTTTCAATTTCCCTTACACAAGTTTGCACTACTTTACTTGGCGCCATTTTAAAGCAACTGCCAATTCGGTCTGATTATGGTTTCAATCGTGTGAACGCAAATCGTTTGCGATTTTTCTTGATCAACAAAAATCGTTCAACTAAAATCGCCTCCTGAGAACCTGGCATAACTAGAGTTCAATTGAAGTATTGAAGCACTATTAAAATGTGACAGAAATTTCTAACCTGTTGGCGGACTTAAAAAATTATTACTTTGTTTTATGGGGAATTTAATTCTAAAACTTTTCTTACTCGTTAGTTTTCAAAAAATTTTGTGATTTTCAACAAAAACACGAATAACTAATAATATGTCAAACTTGACGATCTGGAAAAAATGTTGGAATCAAAATAATTTAATAGAAAAACAAACAACTTAAAGAACAAAAATAACATACAATTTGCACTGATAAGTTATAGAAATTGTTCAATTTCAATTTTGAAGCTTTACCTGCCAGCTAAATCCACTAGATGCGACACATTCTTCAACTGGGAGCGTGACCTAGTTGGTAGCGTTCGGTTCTGACAGTCACGAGATCACTGGTTCGAGTCTCGTTGCGCGACGTTTTTTTCTTTTCAAAACACATGTTTTTTTTTATTTTTTTTTTCATCTTGAAATAGAATTTTGCGAAACATAGACAGTGTAATGTGTTTTAGTGATTATTGTCCCATGAAGAATTATCTCTCTTCTCAATGTGAGACGTTTCCACTTAGGCAAAACTAAATTTATTAAATCAACTAACGCTTTTGATGCAAATGGTTGTTAAAACGTTTTTTCTTTCAGTATGGCAGAAATACTCAATTAAATTAAAAAAAAACATTTTGTTACATCAAAGTTTTTAAAGACGCTGAAACATGTTTAATATTGCCGTTTAGAATTTTCATAGATTAAATCAGAAAGCTCAGAATTTACAATAGTTTTTAGCTTAGAAAATGATTTATTTAAAAACATTTATGTCAATTTCATAGAAACGCTGTGACATTAAGGCCATCGGCAAGTATGGCACAAATAGTGGCGTCATTTGCGTCTAGATTCCACATTTTTTGGTATACAAATAATTTGTACGTCCTTTACACCCACATAGTTTGTCTTTTAAGAAGGTTCTATAGCAAATAGACAACCAGCAATATATTTTCATAGATTTTATTACACAGTTTGTCTAAATACAACTTAATGCACAAATAACGGAATTTCTCCCATTCTAACGCAGATTTTCTATAAAATGGAGTTAGTTTGACACTCAAATTACAAATTTCTTTACAACGAAAAGTAACTTGAGTGTCAAACTAACTCCATTTTATAGAAAATCTGCGTTAGAATGGGGGAAAGTCCGTTATTTGTGCATTGATTCATATTTAGATAACCTGTGTAATAAAATCTATAAAAATGTATATTGCTGGTTGCCTATTTGCTGTAGTGTTGCTCTGCTCTGACGTTTCACTATTTACTCTTCGTCGTGAAGTGCATGAAAATATTTTCAGGGATAACCTACACCGGCGAGAACGAACACGGCGAGGCGCAGTGGAACGGATTGGAAAATATTAAAATTTCCATTTTCGAAAATACCACCGAGTTCAACCACTACATCCAGTCCTTCAACGTTAACACAAACCACTGGGTGGCGCACTACGTCTACAAAAGGTTGAAGTTTTTGGGCAACCGTCAAATCAGTCAGCTTGCGGCTTTGCTGTTTTTGTCAGTGTGGCACGGGTTGCACAGTGGCTACTACGTCTGCTTCTTCTTCGAGTTCTTGGTGATACACATGGAGAGGGATGTGAGTATTGCGGTTATTAGACGTAATTTTTTTACTTGTTTGTTCGATAAACTGAGTGTACAATTTTTTCTTAAATTTTTGCATTCACAAGGTTTAAAATTTCAATTCTTGATAGCAGCAACCAATAAAATAGAAATCATTAAAAAGTTCAAGTTTCATTTCGACACTCTGAGGGTTGCTTTCGTTGTACAGCAAAATACAACGCTCTCTCAACGGTAGAAATAAAGTATTTTTATTGAAAACTACGTTTGTGAAAAAAGATGTGTTGTCGGTTCGAGCGTATGCTGGAGAGTGGTCTTGGCGTGGAGTCGCTCGCAGAAGTACCTGGTCCTTGGCGCCAATCCGCCGGGGACGTCTTCCGGGAACCCTGGTGCGTCTTGGCAGCGTCTGGCTGGCGCTTTTGACGTTGTACTTAAAAATGGGTCACTTGCGAACATGTGTCCCCACAACTCAAATAATACTAGCCGTCAAAGTGCATTTACAAAAAATTTATATAGTTTTAGAAATATTCATAAAAAATTTACTATTTCGTAGGTGTTTGCACGTGCACGCAGCAGTCACACAGATTAAAAACACTTGTCCGTTCGCCCTTATCTTTTATTGATGTCGTTTGCTCTAGTCTGATCGACAGCTCTGAAACTAAATTAACGTAAAAGAAATAAGTTTTTATACTAACGGGACATTACCGTTATTCATAAATTATCAAAATTTCACTGTTCGATCTCTGTTTTCCAGATAAAATCGATAGTAAAGAGCAACGCAAAGCTGTCCCAATTCTTCAGTTCCCCGAAGGTGCAGTTGCCTTTACAGATACTTTTAAGGGTTTATACCTTCGTCTTTATGGGTTGGTGTCTGCTGCCATTCAGCCTGCTGCAGTTCGACCGGTACTGGAAAGCGTTTCGTAACGTAAATTGCGTAGGGATTATCTTGTTCGGGTTGTGGCCCGTGGTGTATTCTCCGATTTTGAGATTCGCTTTGAAAGGGGCGAAACGGGATTAAAGTTTCGACAGCTTATTTTGTACCTCACGAGCTCAACTTACGCAATCGATCGACACATTTTAACCAGGTTCTAATTTTGAAGGTACAAAAGATTAAATTTAATAATATTTGCTGTTATATATTATAGATCGAATATCAAAATTTTAATATAACCGTTTGGAGGTATTTTTTAGCGTCCGCTAATAATTTATATAAAAAAAATGTCCACCTTGTGCGAATATTAAGGAAGCGGTGCACGGAGGTGTAAAGCTTTTTTAATGGTATCGTCATCTAATAGAATCACGTTAATACATATTTTTTATAATATTGTACTTAATTATAGGAAATTATTTGAAACGTTTGACTTTTATTTGAGGCACAATTTATTTAATTTTTATCTTAGATAACGCGAATAATTTATTATAGCAAATTTTTTAATAAACTTTTATTGTTACACAAACCCGTTTTGTTTTATTGCATTTTTTTACATATTTGTGACTTAAATAATGGAGAGTTCGGTTTGGACAGTTGAAGACTGAAGAAATTCCGGTGGACAATAACGGTTCTGCCCAATTCAAAACTGCATTCAGTTCCTTTCTACCTACACCAATTTTCAAAATTTCTCATTTTTTTTAGGTTTTCATTTAAAATTTTGTTCGGCAGGCAACATACAATACAGCACCTGTGTATACTTGGTTGCATAAGAATTCCGAAAATTATATTTATTTTGCTGGAGTAGCCATTTTTTTTTAACGGAAGCTTTTGCACAAACACTGACCGTCGCAAGATGTTCAGGGGGTCCAGTTGCATGCGGAAAAACTTTTTAATTTATTGACAAAATTTGATGACCTGCCATCTATCGTCGAGAAATTACACTAAAGTGCGGAAAAATTGCTAAGTGAGCAACGGCTTCTCATTCAGTGGTGTTAATTGAGATCTTTTTATATAGATGGCGAGGCAAACTATGTTTATTAACATTATTTTGTTATAACATAACATTGAACTAAGAAAAAATAAATAAAATTGAATTCCTGACTCGGTTTTTATTGATAAATTTTCAAATTGTTATTAATTTTCTTCAACTTTCAAACAAACAGTTCGATTTCGTGACATTACTGCTTATTCATGACATTTCTCAATAAGTTTTAGGGCTCCGAAAACAATTTGTATTTTTCAAGCTCTACCAATTTTCGAGATTTTCCATTTTTTCCATTAGGATTACATTTAATTGTAAGATTTTGTTTGGTAGGCAACATACAATACAGTACTTGTGTATACTTAGTTGCATCAAATTTCTTAAAATTTTATTTATTTTGCTAGAGTCGTCATTTTTTTCCCTAACGAAAGCAGTTGTACAAAAACTAACCGTCGCAACATGTTCAGCGGGCCTAGTTGCATACGGAAAAACTTTGTAATTTCTTGACATAATTTAATGACCTGCTATCTATCGTCGATAAATTAAAGTGAACTGCGGAAAAATTGCTAAGCGAGTAGCCAACTGTAACAGTTTCTCATTCACTGGTGTTAATTGAGATCTTTATACATAGATGGCGCCGCATACTATGTTTATTAAAATTAGTTTGAATATGTATTGTTATAACAATAAACTAAGAATAAATAAATAAAATTGAAATCCCGAATCCGTTTTTATTGATTAAATTTCAAATTGTTACTAACTTTCTTCAATTTTCAAATAAACAGTTCGATTTCGTGACATTACTGCATATTCGTGGCATTCATCAATTTTTCTCAATAAGTTTTAGGGCACCGAAAAATTTTAAAAAATTCCGGAGGATCATAGCAGCTCTGAATAATTGTAACCTGTATTATGTTTCTTTATAGCTCCATCAGTTTTTGAGATTTTCCATTTTTTTCGTTAGAATTCCAATAAAAAGATTTTGTTCAGTAGGTAATATACAATACAATACTCGTGTATACTTGGTTGAAGAAGATTTCTTAAAATTTTATTTATTTTTGCCGGAGACGCCATTTTTTCCTTAACGAAAGCAGTTGTACAAAACCGACCATCGCAACGTATTCAGCGATCCGAGTTGCATACGTAGAGGCGGCTTTTAATTTCTTTGACAATAAATAACTTTTTCTTAGGAAGTGAAATGTACCAAAAATTGTCGATGTCCTCCCATCTATCGTCGAGAATGTACACTGAACTACGGAAAAATTACCTAATGGGTAGTCAACTGTTACAGCTACTCATTCACAGCTACGTTGATTGAGCTCTGTACACATAGATGGCGCAGCATGCTATGTTTATTAAAATTATTTTGAATGTATGTTATAACATTAAACTAAGAAAAAATAAATAAAATTGGACTCCTGAATCAGTTTTTATTGATAAATATTCAAATTGATACTAGCTTTCTTCAATTTTCAAATAAACAATTTGATTTCGTGATATTAATGCATATTCATGACATTCCTCAATATTTCTCAATAAGATTTAGGAGTCCGAAAAATTAGAAAAAATTCCGGAGGACCATAGCAGCCCTGATTAATTCAAACCTGCATTCAGTTACTTTTTAGCTCCATCAGTTTTCAAGATTTTTCATTTTTCTCGTTAGAATTCTAATTGAAAGATTTTGTTCAACAGGCAACATACAATACAATACTTATGTATTCTTGGTTGTATAAGAATTCTTAAAATTTTATTTATTTTGCCGGAGACGCTATTTTTTCCTTAAGGAAAGCAGTTGCACAAAAACCGACCATCGCAACGTGTTCAGCGACCCCAGTAGCATACGGAGAGAGGGATAATTATTTTTTTGACAAACAAGTTTTTCTTAGTGAAGTGGAATGTTCCAGAATTTAATGTTCTGCATCTATCTTCGAGAAAGTACACTGAACTACGGCAAAATTACTTAATGGGTAGTCAACTATAACAGCTACTCATTCACAGCTACGTTAATTGAGCTCTTTACACTTAGATGGCGCCGCATACTATGTTTATTAAAATCATTTTGAATGCATTTTATAACATTAAGCTAAGAAAAAAATAAATAAAATTGGTCTTCTAAATCAGTTTTTATTCATAAATTTTCAAATTGTTACTAATTTTTTTCAATTTTCAAGTCGATTTCGTGACATACTACTGCATATTCGTGACATATTCCTCAATTTTCGTCAATAAGATTTAGGGCTCCGAAAAATTTGAAAAAATTCCGGTGGACCATAGCAGCTCTGAGTAATCCAAAACTGCATACAGTTCCTCTCTAGCTTTAAAATCTTTGATTTAATTCATTTCAGTTTCATTATAGATTTTGTGCGGTAGGCAACAAACAATACAGTACGTCTGTATACCTGGTTGCAGAATAATTCTTAACATTTTTTATAATTTTCCGGCATATTTTTCCTTAACGGAAGCAGTTGCACTTTAATTTTATGGAATTTCATCGATTTTCTTAAAAAGTGTTAGGACTACGAAAAATGTGCATCTTGGGGTCGCTGAAGACGTTGCGATGATTAGTTTTTGTGCAAGCGCTTTCGTTAAGAAAAAAAATGGAACATTTCGAAAACTGAACAAGCTAGGCATGAACTGAATGCAGTTTAGGATTCGTCGGGATAGTCATAGTTCACTGGAATTTTTTCAGATTTTTCTGAGTCCTAAAACTGTTTTAGAAGATTGGCGGACTATAGTCTATGAAAACTGTCAATAAATTAATGTACTCATCTAAAGGCTGTTTTGTCTCAACTTTTTTTGTAATATAAGAAGGAAATGTACATGCTAGCCATGTTCATGTTAGCACTGTATAAGTAAATTTACTTATACAATTATGTTAGTCATATTATCTCACCTATTTAGTCCATTGATACGATGACGATCATTGAGTACTGTTACAGTTGGCTACCCTCTAAGCAATTCTTCCTTAGTCCAGTACAGCTTGTGAGCGATAGATGGCAATATACTAAATTTTGGAACGTTCTACTTCACTTAATTGAAAAAGTGATTCCAACTATTGTAACAGCTCGAAAATTGTCAAAAAAATTAAAGAGCCGGTGTCGGAAGCTAGTTTAAACGTGCAAGCGCTTTAAAGAAAGAAATGGTTGGTTTTTATGCAACTGTTCATGACATCTCCGACAGAGTATATAAAATTTTAAACATTTTTATGCAACCAAGTATACACAAGTACTGTATTGTATGTTGCCTACTGAACAAAATTTTTAAAGGAATAGGAAATGAATTTGGTATCGTATACGTGTTACAGAAAAACTGTAATTTTGAGAATGGCTTATTCGCGAAAGTACAGCAGTCCCTAATAAGTAATGATGTATATTATTGTAGTGATATGGTCGTTTTTTTTAAGTGTGTTGTTTCTTGAAAAAAGAAGTAAATAACAAATTTGGAATACCAGAAGTGCTGAGGAGATGCTGACGAATATAAGAACACTTTTATAGAAAATTTTATTAACATTATTATATAACATAAGTATAATGTTACATTACCTACACTGAAATAAAGTTTATCATTTAAAAACAAAATTTATCGGCGATTTACATAACAGCTACTTCTTTAAAGTAATTTCCACCTAAATGATAAATCAGAACCATTTATACATTTAAATTTTTCGAAAATCAAGAGCTCCATACAACAAAAAAAAGCGAAAACTGTTAATAAAATAATAAACGGGCAGATTTTCTAAATAAAAAATTTCCTTAAATATACCATAAAAAAAGGACAAAATTAATTAGCTACACTTATCTGTATAAAGTAGTAAAAAGTAACAGTCACGTCCTTAATAATAATTAATGTAATAAGCATATTAATATATATTTACAATATCAAGCAACACCGATAACAAATCGTTTAAAAAATATGTCTTAAATATCCCCAATAAAAAATAACGTAAACAGAAAACAGATAAAAAATAAATATTTGTCAAGAAAATTATTGGCACAAGTCGAGTCTTTAATTGTTGTCGTTAGAGCTTTCTCCCTCTCCCTGAACAGGTTTTTAGCTAACATCCGCATTTTCGAAATCTTATCATCAAAAGTGGCAGTCGAGGAATTGGTTGGTACGTTCACGTTGCAATAATTTTGGTCGCAGCACGACACACACATCTGAAACGAAATGGAAAATAATACCAGTTATTCAATGCATAAAAGTACAATATTAATTGTAATTTTCCTACAAAATACTAGGTTGAATGTGCGTGTTTCGAATCTTTAGGCTTAAGACATATTGCCAATACGTATGTCGTGTTAACACGACACATTGTTGACACGCATGCCGTGTTTACACAATACATTGAAAACACACATGTCCTGTTAACACGACACATTGTCAACACATATGTCGTGTTAACGTGGCACATTTCCACCACGTATATCGTGATAACATGTCATAACACGACACAACGAATGAATTTATTACATTATTCTGACGTAATAAATTTATGCTACTATGAATGTAAGTATTCGTATAACATTTAATATTTTTAATTGGCCATTATGGATATTGTCAACTTGTGATTCAATGATAGCTACTCATGATAAAAAAGGTGACGACTGGCGACGATTGACACGAATTTGCTGTATGAAGAAGTTTAAGCGAATGTAGCACAAAAATTCGTAATAAGCGTCTATAGTATTTTTACTTGTTATATTTTTATGAATTTTCTTCCTTAAAACTTATCCATACATCTTAATACAAGTCCTAAAATATTCAAATTGTGTTGTACAGGGTGTAACTTTGAATGGGGTTCATATTTATAGGAGACTAATCCTTAGAAATATGTAATTTTCCAATAGTGTTAACAACGATCAAGCACGTGCTGCTGCGTAAATTTTTGGGCGAAATACTGGGTGATTAACAAATTTGGGAACAGATGCGTGTCGATATTGTAAAAATTTTTTTTTGTAATCCTTATAGTTTCCGGAAAAAAATATTGATATAGTATTTTCAACCTTTATATCACTGGGCTATTGTATTCTCTAGCGTCAATCGGCCATGTAGCCTCAGGCGATTCCGAATACTGAAATCCGATTTTAGTATTATCGTTGCTGTGATAGTGTTTACAATAGTTTTTCAAGTGTCGAAAATGGCTTACGTGTATAGCAACTCGGAGTTGATGGATATCGTTTTAATTTATGGTGAAGCAAGACAACATTTGTGTTTGTTCGAAGAGACTGGGTAAGACGAGCCCAAATAATAGTAATAATAATGATAATAATAATAATAATAATAAGTGTTTATTAGTTTGTAATTTTACAAAAAATATATGCACAAATTTAATAAAAAAGTAAAATGTGTTTACATGTCGGTGGAGAAAATCAGGTATGTCAAATTATTTTATTGGGTAAGGTGAGGTTTTACAGTGGACCAATTTCCAGTGCCGTGCATATATTTTTAAAACATTTTCGAAGTGCTCTTTTTGATTTTTTTTACAAAATTGTATTTGTGAGAGTTCCCTGTACATTAAAAATTTTTTATTTGGATACGTTTTGAATCACCCTGTAGATTGAACGGCAAACCCTTCCAAAGACACGCTCTCGTACAGAACTGGACTTCACATAGTATAATAATTTTCACTTTGTGCGTATCATTCGCGGCTTAATTTTGTCGCTGTTTTATGCAGCTTTGCACTGATTTAAGATGTTAATAAGTATTTTTTGGTTTTCACTATTTGTCAAGAAAAAGTATAATACAGAAGACAGCGTTATTAGTGGCTTAAGAATAGAAGTTACAACTGCGCTATGTCTAACAATGTAACACAGTATTCGACACATTCTAAATTTTGTAAAGTTTACGTTATGAACTATTTGGTAGCTATAAAATTGGCCAATTTCTCGATCGACTTATTGGTTCAAAAATTGGTAAACATAAAAACCAGTTTGCTTACCTTCTGCGAGTCAATTTCCACACATCCAACTTTATTCCTTTGGCATTCCTTTTCCGTCGTGCACTTCTTATTCACCAGAACGCTAGTACCCTTTGAATCCATTATGTGTAACGTGTGGCAGAAAGTTTCTCCTGGAATGAAAAGGATGATGAATTCAAAATGCATTACGAGGAAATTGTATTACGACGTAATGTCGGTGAGGACCTAGTTAAAAGGTCCCTACGACCTTCAAAGGCAGAGTTTTTAACCAGTTTATCCAGTGGACAATTGACGCTCGGTACATAGTCTGTTTCGTACATGTCTAAACGACATAAATCTAGAGGGTGTCTGGAACAAGAGCTACTGCATTGTAAACAGGTGATAAGTTGATTAATTGGTGCGAGACAGGGTCGGACAAAGTTTCGCGTAATAATTCTTGATTAATTTTCTAAAACCCATGCCAGTTTAGACTTCAAAAGACCTTCAATATTATCAAACCGGTAGAAAGCGACGTGTTATTTTATACGTACTATGAAAGTAAGACCAATGCTTTGGAGGAACAAAGATTTTACTTAAGAGATTGTGATTTGCAGACTAATGTCGTTGATCGGGGTTGTCTTGGCGTTTTTCCTAATATTTATCCGTGTTTGTTTCACATTAAATATCCCTGGATTTTTCCAAACGTGATTTTATCTTCCTTATACAAAATGAAACGCTGCCAGAGATGCTTGAATACCGTAAACCGCAGTCATTTGTTAAACATACATATTTTTTTTATTGGAAACGGGAAGTTGGCGACGGAAGCCGCTAATAACCGCTTCGCCCGAGGCGAAAAACGATAAACGAAAAAGATGCAAATCCTTCTTTGGAAACGCGAGACTGCCGGCGGCGCTTTATCGCGATTTTTCAGGGCTTCGAAACTTGTGTATCCAACAATTTCGATTTCGCTGCTGTCGTTCTAATTCGTTTTTGCAGCTCCCTCCTCAGGCAAATTAGCACCGCCGTACCGCTGAACTCTTTCCACACTCGCGACCAGCTGTAAAAGTTTGAGCCGTAACGGTTGTGATACCTCTTTTCCTCGCGGGAAATTCTTCTGGCTGTAGGAACGGGCTATAATCGACGGCCGAAATTATAGATAGTGATTCATCGCTAGCTCTTGGACTAGTAAGGAGGATGAGGCGTGCGGGGATCGAAAATCCATAGGCGTGTATACGTAAAAGGCAACAAGATGTAGAAAATAAGGAAAAAATATAATAAAACATAACATCTATTATTTTTAGAGGTTTTATCGAGAAAACTTCAAAAATATTTTAGTAACATTTTGTTTTTAAATTTTAAGTGTTTTCCATAAAACGATGCCCTCTTGGGCATCGATAATCCACCACCACTCGGCTTACGCCGCCGCAAAATATTGTAATGTTTACTATTAATATATTTATTAAAGTAGGTACCTACTTACATATTTTATAATAATTATCTCACGAATATTATCACTGTCACACTTTCACTTCACTGCCACATAATCACTTCACTATTAATATATTTAAATACTTACATATCACATTATTCACATTATATATTTCACATATCACTGTTGCTATCACTATCACTAGAATCATCTTCACCCAAATGAATAATGACTGGTTCTATGAACACTTCTACCGTTGTATCAAGATCCCACATACGTTGTTCCTCTTTCTGTGCATGTCCAATACACTTACACCATGTTTCAGCAGTGACGTGATTAATAGCATCCTGTAATAATAATTTCACGTCGTTTATTTTAAAGGTGGTGTTTTTTCGTGCGATTTCATTCTTTATTTGTGCCCAAACCAACTCAATTGGGTTTAATTCACAGTGGTATGGCGGTAAACGGAGTACACGAATTCCTCGATCTTTGGCCATCTCATCCACTACATACTTAATGTATTGACCTTTTTCTCTTTGGACAATTTTTAATAATTGTACTTTTAGCATGGTTTCTGTATATTCAATATTTTTCGATTGTAACCAGTCCATAATATTTCCTTTTCTCCATGCTGATGTCGGTAACATTTCAACTCTTCTACTATGATAAGGTGCGTTATCCATCACAACAACTGCTCCTGGCTCCAGATATGATAAAACATATTCAAACCATTTTTCAAACACGTCGCTGTTCATATCTTCATGATAATCTCCCGTTTTTCGTGACTCAAATACATGCAAACCATTTTCTAAAAATCCCGTATCGCTTCCAATATGTGTTATAATCAATCTTCGTCCTTTTCCAGAAGGTGCCTTTAATCCAGTAGAAAATCCATCTAAAAATGCTTGTCTCTTACTCTTAACATTACCATCCTGCCAAACTTTTGATACAGTATGACCTTCGTTTACCCATGTTTCATCCATGTAATATATCTTCTTACCAGATGCACGAAGTTCTCTTATTTTTTCTAAGTATTCTCTTCGCCATACCACAATTTCGTCTTTTTCAACGAGCATACTATTCCGATTCCGTTTCAAATATCGAAAATTCATGTCACGCATTATTCTTCTAAGAACCTTATCAGAGAAATTAGGAATATCCTCATCTTCAGCTATTGCAGCTTGAATTTTCTTTATCGTTGGTATTTCATTTCTAAAGAAAAATCCATGAATTTTCCTACGTATGGAGTATTTCACGTCAACGTCGACTTCTATTTTCTTCCTCCCTCGTGTTTCCACTTTTTTCTTCTTTGGATTCACTTCTACACTATTTTTTATGGCACGATAAACAGTAGCAACGGATACTTTTGTCAACGAACTACACATATCAACAGCTTCACTTACACTTGTATTAGAATTTCGCGACCGAATTCCTTTATACACGTTTTTTACCATTATTAATTCCGCATCGCATAGGTTAGGGCGTTTATGAGCAACAGACCGTTTGCTACAACCGGCACTTTGATCCATTTTAATTATTATTCCTACGTTTTAAAACGTCCCGATTGTATTTTTTTAATTTATAAATTTACTATAGTCACGGAATATGCAAACCCTCGCGCGCGCTTATAGTTTGACGTTTCTAACTACGGCTAACTCGAATTCTACGTACGTCCGTTTACACCCACTAAAAAGAGCATTTCCCTATCTGTAATAAGTGCGATAGACAGAGATAGGAAAATAGGAAATAAATCGCGTTCAGTGTAACTCAGTCTATGACTGTTATAGATCCTATCGATGTGCAAAGAGAGCGGCACATCATTTAACATAAGCAAATAATATTGAACTGTTCTCAAAATCATTTTAAGTTTTATACACTTTACGGTAATAGTGTTTCTATATTATGTATGAACCACTATCTATATTTTCGGCCGTCGAGTATAGGTGATTTATTTGTAGTTTCGAGATGTGGGGGATATTCATTTCGAAATCTTATACAGGGCTATCTAAAAGTCCCGGTACGGCAGAAAAACTTTCGAAGAATGCATTTTGAAAAAAAATGTCCCAGACAAAGGTGTAAGGATTTTTCCCTGGCTCTCTGATGATGACCTTGGATTTGACCTTGACTTTGAAGGTGAAAATAAGTTTTTTAAATGGGAACCCCTATTTTTTTATTGCGGATTTGGAAAGAGCAGGAAATTTTATGTCCAAATAGGGTCTTGACCATGACTTTGATAATGACCTTCAAGGCCATTCCAAGGTCAAAGCTGTTTTTTTCATTGGTAACCCCTATTTTTTATTACGGATTTGGAAAGAGCTGGAATTTAACCTTCAAGTATGACCTTGACTACGACTTTGACAATGGCCTTCAAGATCATGTCAAAGTCAAGTTAATTTATTTACATTAACTATTATTTTTTTGATAAGTTAGGAAGAACGGAAAGACAAATGTACGAATATGACCATCATTTAGTTCTTGGCCTTGAACAAGTATGTGAAGGTCATTTTAAAAATATTTTTTCAAGAATTTAAAAAATTTTTAGTCACTGTAGGGTAGCTAGCGACCCAGTCAGTTAAGGAAAGGAGATGCCAGTTAAGGCAAGGCTAACGATCCCGGACAGTTAAGGAATGGCTAATAATCTTGGCCAGTTAAGACAAGGCCTACAACCTGTGGTAAAAATGTTCTCTATCAACATTTTGGCAGATTCCTAGACGGATATAAGAATTGGTCGGGACTACACGCTACCTTGCCTTAAGTGGTCGGGTATACACACACCGCCTTGCCTTAATTGGTTGGGACTACACGCCACCTTGCCTTAATTGGTCGGGTATACACACCATCTTGCCTTAATTGGTCGGAATTACACGCTACCTTGCCTTAATTGGTCGGGTATACACATCACCTTGCCTTAATTGATCGGGTATACTCACCACCTTGCCTTAATTGGTCGGGTATACACTAAACCTTGGTCGAGACTAACCGCTACTTTGCGTTAATAGGTCGGGAGTACTGCCGTACCGGGACTTTTGGAACTCGACTCACATTTGACCTTGAAGGTCGTGGTCAAGGAATTGGTCAAGGTCATAGTTAAATGTAAAATTTCCTGCTCTTTCCAAATCCGCAATAAAAAATAGGGGTTCCCATTTAAAAAACTTAACTTGACCTTCAAATAACCTTGAAGGTCAAAGTCAAGGTCAAATCCAAGGTCACCATCAGATGCCAGGGAAAAATCCTTACACTTTTGTCTGGAACATTTTTTCCCAAAATGCATTGTTATGTTAGGGTTTTGTTGTGTTACAGATTTTGAGAATTTCACGTTGGTTTTAATAATTGCTTTATTAAACCATATACAAAACAAACGTATTCTACTAACTAGTGACGTGCGTGTCACCCTTGTTATCGTCGCACAGCCTCTCGCCGCCGCTGCCCCGCTGCATCTCAACCATGCCTCTAGGAAGGGGCGCCTAGACAGGGCCGTATTCGTGTATTTGCCGCAACATGCATTCTGCGAAAGTTTTTCTGCCGTACCGGGACTTTTAGAACTCGACCCACATTTGATCCACCACCATCAAGGTCAATGTCAAAGTCATGGTTAATACCCTCTTTGGACGTAAAATTTCCTGCTGTACCTGCTTAACCTTCAAATGATTTTGAAGGTTAAAGTCAAGTAGTTTGGCAAGATAAGAGAGAGGATGGGAGAAATATAAATTATAGGTAGAAATAGGTACAGTGAATTAATTTTTTTTTTAAATGAAATATTTTTAATAAAACCTTTTTAATACAAGAAAAATATTAAAAAATATAAATAACTAAAAAAATAAAGAAATTCAACGAAAATTACCTTTTCCGAATTTGGAGATGCAAAGCAAAAATTTTACATTTTTTTTTTCAAATCTGCAATTACCTAATCATTATTAAGTTGAAACATTGGTTTTTGTGTTATTTTTCTCACAATTTTCCGATAAATACCCATCAAATATCGAAAAAAAATAAAAATAAAAATTTTGAAAAAAAAACAATTTTTTCAAAATACTTTTAAATATCAAAAAAATGTTTCTTCTTGACATTTAAAATATTCAATATAAAATTTTAAAAACGAGAACGCAAACAAATTTTAAAAATATTTGAAGTTTGAATGTTTTTCAAAATTATTTTTTTTATTCTTTTCAAAATTTTGAATTTTTTTTCCGATATAGTATTTAACGTGAAATTGTGAGAAAAATATTGAAAAAAACACTAAAACTTTTTGTATTTTATTAACATTATTTTAATTATGTGCAGAGGCACGAAAATAGATTTCCAAAGGGCCTATATTTTTAAAAGGACAAACCTTCTTACTTTTTCAATAAAGAATGGGATCAAAATAACAGCGAAGTATGAGTTTGTGAGTAAAAATGTAATAAATGACTTTTTGCTATTGAAAAAAGAAACACATTTAAGCAGATTAACGCAGATTAATATATTCAATATGTGTAAAGAAATGTAATATGTACTCCACTGGACTATCCTCTGTCTGTAGGGCATTTTGTGTTAATCATTGCCTTCAGTGTAAGTTTGGTTGCCTAAAAGACGCGGTTACGTGTTACTCGGACATTTATCAAGGCGCTCTAGAACCAGAAGACAATAATTTTCCACCAACGTCCACTATATACTTGGTGTTTGAGAATTTTGAATTTGAGTTGTGACAAAATAATTTAAAAATTGCACTGGTATGAAAATTAAATAAAAAAATAATTTGTTACAATTTACGACATCGTTAATAAAAGAAAACAGTTAGAGAATACGTAAATGATAGATACAAATTAACGAGAAATCAAGGCTGTTCAGTTTGAACAATTGTATTTGGTTAACAAGCCGCTTAGGTATTGATTTGAAATACCGTAACAAATGAGTCCGATGAAAACGAAATCCCAAGTGGCTTTACATCGCGGTTTTCGCCACTACATTGGTAAAAAAGAAATTTATGTTACTGGGATCTCAAGTTCAGATAAAAAATTAGCCGTAAAACTTCAGGACTAAACGTTAACATGAACAAGATTGATGTTACACGCTAGAAAGGAAACGCTCCGAAAACTATTCTTGGCCGGAGAGGGCTTTCCGGGGGAATAATATTAGATACTGGGGGAAATGTATAATATACAGACTTCATATAGTGGAAAGATGAGTTAAATACGAAGGTCACGCAGGGAAGCTGCACGAAAACTGTCATTTTGCGTTTGTCATGGCATTTATTGTACGAAGCGTGGTCTTCTTTTTTATAGTGTGTTGCAGAACCTTTATTTTCTTCTGTACGGTAACTATCAGGTGTCCCAAAATTCACGCAAGATTTGAATTTTGCGCCATTTGCGCGGTAGTGTTGCCAACAAAAAAAAGACAGCGTGATAGCCGACAGTTTAAGGTTATTAAAAATGGAATACTACGCGATATAATTTATTCCATTTGGCTGTTCCACAATGTATACAGGGTGTCCAATAATTAGTGTGCACTACTTTAGCAGTGGATTCTACAATCAAAAATAAGATTATTTTTTCCTATAAACAAGGGTCGAAAAATGCTACGCCCCCTAAAAGGGGCCTCAAAAGAGATCATATTTTTCAAAATATTTCCAAGACCAGTTCAATCAACTTGATGATAATTCTAATATTTTCACATGTAAACATCAAACGATGACAGAAATGTTTTTTTTACAAAAAAGATGGACTTCGATAAAATGCTTCGTTTTCGAAAAATATTTATTTAGATTTAGAAGCTATATCTCATTTCAAACTATAAAAGAAACCATTTTTGCATCGTTCAAATCATTCAAATCACAAACCGTTTGTAGACTGTTGGCATCCGTGCATGCGTAGTACAAAATTTGTACTAATAGTTTGCAAACTATCAGTAATTTACTACAGAAACAAACTTGATATGCACAGTAGTCAACTGAAGTTTTGTAATAAATCAGATAATAAAGAAATTATTAAAAACTAAAAAACACGTTACAATAATTGCTCAAAATACCTGCCATTTTCTTAGCATATTAGAGGCCAACATTTTTTCTAATAATTCTTTTCTGGTACCTATTTCGGTGTTATAAACGATACTATTAAAATGTCTCCATAAGTAATAATCTTGAGGATTAAGGTCAGGTGAACGAGATGGCCAGGCAATAGGGCCGCTTGGTCCAATCCACCTTTCTGGAAAATATTCGTTCAACCAGTTTTTCACATTCCTACTATTATGAGCTGGAGCTCCATCGTTCTGAAACTACATGTTTCCTCTAACATTCAGAGGTACATCTTCCAACAAATTAAACAATTGATTTTGTAAAAAATGTTAATAAACTTCACCGTTTGCCGATTTGGAATTTCAACAGGTCCAATTAATTTGTTACCGATAATCCCCGCCCACAGATTAACTGAAAACCAATGTAGGAAATTATTACGCCGAACTACCTTCGGATTGTCATTAGCCCAATAGTGGGTATTGTGAAAATTAAGAGCTCCATTTCTGGTGAAAGTCGCCTCATCGGTCCAGAGAATTATAGGAAGCAAGGTTTCATTATTAATGATCCACTGAGAAAATTTGATCCTACGCATAAAATCTTCATTAAAGTATTGTACCCTCTGATAATGATAAGGATAAAGGCCTTGGATAGTGACCATTCGTGAAAGCTAAAATGAGAGCTTTGGATTAGTTTTAATATACGTTTCTTACATTTTTCATTATGTACTGTTGTTCGTGGAATATTAGTGGCTCCTGAGACTGTGCGGATGCTGATATTAGGATGATCATCAAATTGAGTTAAAGCGTTTTCAAAATTATAATCATTTGTTGGCCTTCCTTGACCGCACAGTTTTTAAAAGATCCATTTTCCGTTAATCGTCTATGGACCGTAGAAAATATTCTATGTCCGGGTTGCCTCCGATTCAGGTATTTCCGTTGGTATTCTCTTGGTGCCGCTAGTACTCTCCCATTATAAAATCCATACACAAAATGAATGTCTGCTAGCTCGCGATTATTAAAATTTAATTTTTTCTTTAGATTAATATCAATACAGCAGCGCAGTAAAGTGAAAGCAAAAATTTAGTTTAATTTGAAAATATTGACATGCAAAAAATTGGGGGCGCAATTTACCCGTGAGCCCCCCTGCCTGAGACACCCCTGACTTTAATTTTTAAACAGTTTTCGTGTAGTTCGTTAAAACATTTTAAACGCCAAAGTCTTTTTCGTTCTAGAACAACAAGTATTTTGCAGCTGGTCGACAAAAAAACTTTAATATTATTAATTAATTAATTTATCACAAATTAAAAATCACAGTCCGTCCTTGTTAGACTTTAAGTCCACCTCTGGTATATCTTCCAGACCTTTCTCGTCTAGCGATCATTGAGATTTAGTTGTACGTGACCCTAAATCTTCTGAATAATAAGGCCTAGGGATATGAAAATTAATTTCGTCGACATTTAACGGACAGACGAAAAAAAATAAGAAAAAAGTTTAGTGGGTGGCCCGGTCTATAAATTCCAATTTTCTGAATCATTCTTTGTGCGGCGAGTCGCTCGTATCACAGAAGCAGCCAACAGCGATGTTATGGAGAACCTCACCGACGTATTTTTCTTTTTTTTTATGATAATCTTTATAAATCTCCTACGGGGTCGTACAAAGCAGCAAGTTCCCTGGGGGAGTGTCGAATTTTGAATGTTATTTCGGTGAAAACTAAGAAAACACGTCTTGTTCGGTAAATACCGTTAAAGACCTGGTAGCAAAAACTGGCAATAATATTACGTTGATGGTGAAATGAAACTTTTTTATTGTTGATTTTTCGAGAAAAAGTTTCCTTGACAAAAAGTTTTGCTTATCTTGGGAAGCAATTTGCAGTAATCAAATATGTAATAAAACAGCAAACACATGAGAAAAATTCGAAGAAACTCACCAGGTTTACAGGGCCTGTCGATGGCAAACTGATTGCAGATGAGATTGTCCGAAACGTTGACGCAAATGTAGCAGGTGACGGCGTATTTGTCGAAGTCTGAGAAGTCTGTGGTGTCTACGTAGTTGGCTGCTAGGTTCTTCTCTTCCATTGCAGTGTTTGTCATGAAAATACAGCTGATAAGCATACTCAGTCTGAACATTACAATCTGGAACAAAAAGGATCTGTCAGACTTGTACAGTCAACAAAATTACGTAATTCGTTATCATTTTTTAAGCATATACATAAACTAATGCAAAAAATTAAAAGGTCAAAAGAATCTCCGAAATGTTTACGTGATTTTTCAGAGACTGTATTTAGGTGAAAAATAGTCGTAGTATCGTATCGGGAATTAAAAAAATGCATTTTGAAGCTATAAGATTCTAGTTTTTAGATCTTTTGCCGAGTCCACGGACTCAGAAAAATGTTTTTCAGCTAAGCCATTGCATGGACCCGATAGCTTGTTTATTCAGCTTTAATTTCCTTTTTTTAAATTTCGATACGACCATTTTTCATTGAAATATCGGACTTTTAAGGAGGTATATCGGGTTTATGAATACGCACAGATGTACTTGAAATTTATGTGGCGTATTACCCAGTGCTTCCCCTGTGCGTCATATTTTTTCAATTTTTTTTTGAATCTAGATTTTGAGGTATTGTTGTTGAATGTTGTTCATTTTAACATAGGTTTATATGGCGAAGATGGACGGTGCGGCGCTTTTTTGCCCATAACTGAGAAAAAAGTTTAGAAATTGTGAAACAAAACTTTTCCATAGACAGTATCACAGTATTCCATAGACATTATCTTATTTTTGATGTAAAACTAATGTAAGTTTTGAACATAGTATCTACAGCTGTATTAATTAGAAACAGAAACCAATTATTGTGTTTCTGTCTGACTTGAGGATTAATGTGGCAACGTCGCAATCAGCTGACAGCAAGGAGGGAATACATTTGAAAGACTTGATAAAAACGAAATTGATTTCAAACATATACTATCAACAATAAATTATCCACAATAGACGATTTTTTGTAATGTTTTTAAAAAACTAGATTAATTAAAAAATACTAGGAAGCTGTGATATATTAATTGGAATAAAAAATACAGTTGATAAATCCTTTTAATATATTTAATGGTTTATAAAAACATCGTAATCATTACCCAGCAATATTTAGGATTACATAAAGTTTTCTTTACTTGATTAATATAATTAGTAATACTTGAGATAAAAGCATTTGTACGGAAAAACAAAGGAACATAAATATTTCTCAACAAACTTTATATCTAAAAAATTAGTTATAGTTGCAAAACTTTTGTAACATTACTAAAATAGGGATTAAAAACACGAACAGTGAGTAATAATGTAATTTCTATCATAGAACCTTCAAAATTGCATCCAACATTTTCTTCGACTTGGCCGAGAGATGGGCGCGAGTGTTATTTCATTTCTTTAGAACTAAATTAACATAATTCTCGTTGTTTTACCAGTTCACATGATTTACGGATTTTACATAAAGGATACAAATCTTCGCGAGGATAATACGATATATTTGCTATATAGAATAATTATATTGTACATAGTTTATACACAATACATTTTTGAACGCGTACGCATCTTTACCCGAATTTGACACGCAATATCTCCGATGTCCGAGGTCTGTAGGTTCGCAGTGTGTACAACTGCTAGTCAATTATTAGCGCTGTTGCCACATCTACATAGTCTTTATACGTTCATTAAATATAATTTTCAACTACTTATATATGATATTTTTACGTTGTTAATTAGTCAATATGTATGCTATGTGCATATGAGTAGATTTCTTTGCTATATAGATAATGTTTATCGCAAATAATTTCAATAGAATTAAATTTTTTCAAATTGGCAGCGGGCGTTAGTCCCATAAGAAAAGCATAGGACCCCACCTGCGCTCCTCACTTCCCTCGGACTCCGATATACCTCCTTAAAGTTATTGAAGAACATGAAAAACATCAATAATAACCATATTGAACTTTGCCTAACCTTTACACACAGACATCGAGATTGTAGCCTACTATTTAAAACCTATTTTACTTATTGTTTTACTTACATTACATTTTGTTTACAGTTTTCTTGTTCCTGAGTAAAATTACACTCTAGGTGTCGTAAATATACACATATCGATTAACAAAGTGTAAAATTACGTGCTCATTGTGACTTTACTTGTATGATGTAATAAAATATATTTGAAATTGCACGTATAGTGCATTTGAAACCTCAATTACTAATTCCTTTGCCTGTGCATGTTTACGTACAACAAATATTCCCGGAGAACTAGTTTTATTTTCTGCACGTGTGTGATTTATTGAGCCGTCCGATCGCAAAGTAGTGGTAAACGAAAACAATAACATGCAAATGAGGTGTTGTAAGTTTTGGAGTTAGTCAAAACTTCGGTGTTAGAATAGTGGAGTCGAAATAGGGAAAATGTCGGATAAAATCGATTTTGTGGTTACTGAGCGTGTCAAAAACATCGAAATGCGTCTGTTTGTGTCAAGTGCATATCTAATATAGTAGACTTAAGTGTTTAATAACATAAAGTAAATAAAAGGTGCGTTTGAAAGCAAAGAGGAAAAAATAGGTATTTTAGCGAGGCTATCTATTGAAAGGTAGATCTTTATTGATGTAACGGGACTTCCTCCTTCCTTCTTAGTCAGGATCAAGGTCAATTAGAGGTCAGATTAAGAAAAAGTATATTAAATTAAAAAAATCTCGGAGTTTAGGTTTTATGGGTCGTTGAGATCGAATCTGAGATTAATTTGTCTGTATTGGGCCATTTTAAGGTTGTTTCAAGGTCATTTCAAGGTCATATTAAGAAAAGGCCGCTTGTAGCGACATCCTGAAGGACATCTCGGTCGACCATCTAAAACACTCATTCAAAATGTTTTCAGACCATGCAAATCGCTGTAATGAGTTGGAAGGGGACTATTCCGAATAAAATAAATCGGTATTGTCGAAAAACTTTTTCTTGTTCTTATTTTTAAAAAGTCCTGTTTACTTTGGAACATACCTTGTCCTTGTATGAGTAACAAATTGTCTATATCTTAATTTATCACGATGGTAGTACTTAAAGCTGTCGTATTACTCCTGCTTACGAACGCTAATTCGGTAGAACTGAAGATGGTAATACGAGAATTCCTGCTACGCCTGAACAAGTAAAAAAAAAATAAAAAATAAAATCGTAAACGTAAAAGATTTTTACGTACAACACAATATAAAATACATACAAAACAAGTATAATTATCCAGTCCTTTCAAATTATTGTTTTGTTTTTCATGCGGAATATTACCCTTTCTCGGTTGGATACATTTTTTATTTAACAGCTTCGTTACAAGGGTCAAGGGACGCACATCATCATTCTGTTTTACAAAATGGACACTCTTCTACTCCTGCTGCTTATTTTTACTTATAAATAATACAGATTTCTCTAGATTTGATATAACAAAAACTATAATAATCTACAATGAAAGGAAACCACGACATCAGCTGTGAATGTTGATTCGTCAGTAAATAAAATATTGTAATTGTAAAGAATCTGTTTTCAATCAGTTTCTCGATCATTGTTAAACAAAACTAGAAACGACGACCATCATCTCCATCAAGCAATCTATGATTAAACACTGGTTTGATTGGATAGATTTTGTTATATACTAAAATTCTTTGAATATGAGATCTGCTAATATCTATGTTTTCTGACAATTTCTTGAGGGACATCTTTGGATTGTCTTGTACAGAGTCCATAATCACAACAGTAGCAGCATCGTTATGATTGCATTCTTTTTTATCTCTTTAATATTTTTTGCATCACCAGTGGTATAGAATTTTATAATTAGCTTGTGAAATGCTCTACGAGTTACAGTTACATTTGGATAGTTTTCATTAAAAATTTGTATTGCATATCGGTATGAAACATTACCGATTCCATTTCACAAGATAAATTCGTTGCTCCAGGGTTAGCATTATTAATAAAAATTATCGGTGGGCAGTTAATAATGTTGACTTTGACATTGATAAGGAAATATCCATGGCAAGTATATGGTATGTAGGATAGCATCTTTTTTTGCAAAATTATTTTCAGGAAGATTTCTTTCTACTTGATATGAGATATTCACAGAATGAAAAATTTTATATTGACATTAGCGCATTCGCCAGAATTGATAAAAATCTCCATAGCATTCGAAAGTATGGATAATTTTTGGAATAAGTATTATATAAACAAATTAGAATAAGTAAAAAATTTATGAATGGTTCATACCTATAAAATATTATTGTATACTGCTATTTGAACGTGATATAAATAAATTACAACTATTAAAAATAAAATAAATCTTTTTATCCTTGTAATTTGTTTACTAGATCTTATCTGTGAAATAAAATATCTTTTGCACACTTTTTCCTGCTATCGACGAAAATTGTTTGAGTTCATTTAACAAAATTTTAGAAAAATATTGCGGATTGATTTGAGTTACGTTTAGAACATAGTAAAATATATTAGATATAACTCTAGACTCTACTATATTTGAACAAACTTTGTGGTACTAAACCTACAAAAATTATTTAAAATATATATTTTTTCGTGCTTTCAAGATACGTTGTCTGGAACGGAAAACAATTGACATCATTTATATTATTGAAATGTCCAAATACACAAATTGCAAACAATACTAGGAAAAATTGATATATTTAAACTATTCACATTTGAATAATAAAATCTAGTTTAATACTTATTAGTTAATTGAGTGCTTTAGTTTTTAATGTCTTATTTCAGAGATTTTTCATGTAATATACACGTGCTTATATTTCCCATAGGTTGTTAAAAGTGAACCATTTGTTTCCCACAATAATATTACATACCCCCAAAATATATCACCATAATATACTCGTATATCAGTAAACACCATTAATGCAAATTTTCTTGTATATGTGCCTAGGCCCCACATATCAAACTCTATTATAAATGTAAATTTAGGTGTATTTAATTGGAATTAATTAAACCATGCTAAACTGTTAACTAACAATTAAATATATTAGTGCCTTTCATTCTACGGGGTGTTAAAATGTTTTAAATAATTTCTGCAGAATTTCTAATAAATTGGTAAAGTTTATTTATTTTATTTGCTCTGAACGTATATGT